TCAACTCTATTGTACATAGATAACACACATTCTGTCCAAGAATTAGATTATCCGTCTTCAGAGTTGTAAATAGATGGAATAATAGGTACACAAAATATATTAACGACCCAGTAGCCAATGCAGGAGCTCGTCAACGTGCTAATCCTGGTTTATGTGATGACTTTGATGTAACTACATATTGGCATCTCAATGTCAGACTAGTGATCCTTTGGATTATTTCGCAAAAAATAATAATTTATGTATCCGTAAATTTGAAACTGAAAGCCGCTGATCATCCGCATACTGGACCGCTCTTTTCAACCAGTGAAACCCAATTAATAGTTTGGAAAGGGCTTTATGACGTAATGTTCGTAGGTGTTCCACTTTACATTGATAAGAAAATTAGCAAAAGCAGAAGGAAAAAGATGCTAGCCAGAAACAGAAATGCAGCATATTCTAAACCTATTTCACTATACTCTTATTAACATATATGCAGTACCAGGAAAAAAGTCTTCCTAGGGCGGCTTCCAGTGTTTTGCGTGGATCAAAGTACTTTCTAGTGAGAGAAAACCCTCCAAGTGGTGCCGCCCATACCGCAAATACTTGAGCGTTTACAATACCGATACTCTCGCAGGACAACAGTTTTGGCTGAATTTAAACCGGTCACAACTGTCTACTCTTCTTTAAACAGAACTGTAAGGAACTGAATTCTGGAATATGACTTGCATAAGAAATTCACGTTAGTCACAAGTACTCCTTAGTTTAGTTTTATATTCCATCTAGTATCTACTAAGTGGGCAGAATAATACTGATGCTACACACAAGTTCCGTTTAAGGGTACTTTACCAGGAAAATACAATTGCACCTCGGTTTTTGTTTACTTCCAATGCACTCGCCCACTTTACACCATGCAGTCACCAATTATGAGGCAACAAACATTTTTGACATCAAGACTTTTGAGACAAAAGTTGTCTCCTTAGGCTACTGAATGTAAGTTCGATATCCTTCAAAATCTAAAATGGAATGTCTGTTAATTTTTAATTTAGTATAATATAATGTTTTCACAGTAGCCTGTAGTAACTGCAGGAGGCTACGGGGCATTGTTATATATCGCTCCACCGGCCTTTTCATGCATAGGCGAATGGATCTCAAAACACCACTTAATCGTACGGCAAAACAGTGGACTGCTGCACAGCCCTACGAATGGAGACTCTTTGAACGCCACCCTAAAAATGCTTCAATAATTAAATGATGAATCGAAGACCATTGCATGATAGATGACTTAACCTGTGGAGCATAAAATTGCGAAACATGTGCATATTTTGCCATTGTCTATTATTTTTAACTAGTCCACTGATGAATGATAGTTAATGCGGCGTTTGCTAATTGATGTCCGTTAGAATAGCAATGTTGAAAGGCTTTTCCAGTTAGTTGTCGTGATATTCTAAAGGACTAGGACATTTATGTAAGCTCCAAGTGCTATACGAGGTGGCATTAAAAAAGCTCTGCATTTACGGCTAGATGCAGGACAGTTCACGGGACCACAAGATGAACTTTACAACAAAAACTGACACTAAATATTATCAAATAAGACTCTTAGACATAGGCATTTTGATGAAGTCATTCTTTGCAAATGGCTGACATGCACTTTAACTGACAATGAACCTTAAACTCATCTTATTCAGACTAAATATAAACCATGTTAGAGCTGCTTTGTTATTCCATTAGGCTCGATTTACAAGCATAACAGACCCGAAAATCTCACTTCATTCTCAACTACAAATGGTTGCACCAAAGCGAGTAAAAAGCATAAAATATTTGTTTACTTACCAAATCTTACACATTATCATTTTAATAATAATGAAAAGTAAAAGAATAGAAGTTTTTCTAACTGGTCACATCCCGTGATTTTCTAAATTCGCTTATGCAAATGCTTAAAAGTCAGCCAACTCCCACATTTTATTCATTAAAATGGACACACGAAACAAATTTTTCTCTTAAAACCCTTTGATGGATTGGTGAGGGTAAAACAATCAACTAAAAATTCAAAATAGGTTTTAACCCATTCTTAAATTAACTCTATGCCATCGATCACTATGTTAGTGACAATTTTAGATCGGCGTGTCAACGATGTGCTCTCAACGGATAGCTAAAAGCTTTTAGGACAGTAAAATAAAGTAATGCATTCTTGTTAGACGCTACCCCTCACTGACACAACAATTTAACTAAGTGACATTTAATGCAACTCTCGATGACCATTTCGAAGCTATTTTTCCCAAGCGACAACCACATTTCGGAGATACCCACTCCAGCAGAATCGAGTTATAACATTGTATACTTACTACACTTTAAGTTTTTCAAACACATTTTGCTCTAGCTTGCGTTTCTTTTCGGAATGGGATTTGCTAATGACAAACAACCTAACCATGTTAGTTAAAATGTTCTGGAACAGATCACACGGCTAAGCACACGTTTTTTTTCACTTCGTTTATTTTTGTGTCAAGAGTAGAAATATGTTAATTTGACGAGAATGACATATTTTTTCAATCGCAGTAACAGAAATTATAACTGCCATGCCAAGTGGATGACTGGAGCAAAAAAAGATTCCTTAAACAGCTGAAATTGATATTTAAATTCCATAGGGTGGCACTGGCTCTTGGTAACTATGTGTAGGATTCGTGGACATATGCCTAAATTGTATGCAATTATTTTTACTTTTTGTTTTGAATGTAACATTCGTTACAGGAGAGTAGACTGTCAAACTTTCCCGTTCTAAACACAAACTTCGTTCACCATTCCCACTTGTTCAAATTGGGCAGATGTGAGGAATGCAATGTAGGCATTTCCGAAAAATAGCCATCATTAAGACTAAATATTACAAACACAATGAAGAAAAACAGAGGAGTTCTCTGCGTTGAAGTAAGGCATTGCTAAAATCATCGTCCGTTTTGCTGAAATTGTGATGTGTGCACTAAGCATAATAAAACAGGCTAACCAAACTATGAGGAGGGTAAACCGGAAATAGGCAAAGGTTATTGAATGTGACAGATATGTATGAAGAAGCACAAAAAAGTTTTATATTAACCACAGACTTCAATCTATTTTTGATACTTCAGTTTTCTACTCTACTTGTTCTATTTTTATATTTTTAAGTGATTTGAGGATTTTTTACGAAAACAAAAACGCCCAAAATACTACTGATTTTAGGAAGAGAATAAACAGTGGCCACTGTTTACCTTTAAATTAGGATGTTATCTAGACAATAAGTGTATTCACCAATAAACATGTTTCACGAATTGATTTCAATGATATTGAATGCATATTACCGCATTGCCATGGTTTGCTTATTTTCGATAAATCATGGAATTTTAGTAGCCCGAGTGGTGTACAGAAGAACTGAAGCTCTTGGCATGGACCCTAGGCCATGCCGGCAGACAGAAGTACAATAGTGAAGCCTTAATTGCCCGTGTGATCAAAAACAGAGTTAAAAAACCAGGGTCCTACGCAGCCTCTGCTCTTTAAAGCTACCTTCCAAACCAGCCATCACAACGTAGTCGGTGATGTTAGAGAAACCCCCACGAACCAACCGCACCAGCAATCACATTTTTTTCTGCTGAAAAGATACTTGACCTCAACGTCACTGATTCCTTGTAGCAATTCCATCAGATCTGGAAATTTCGTCGAATTTAAGAACCGTGTTGGGAGAAGGAGGAATGTGCTGGTCATCTCTCATCCCCACCGCTAGTTGTGAGAACGTTGACATAAAAACAGTCTTTTAATAAAATATGGGATAAAAATATTTTCTGGGATAAGGTTCTTCATCTACTCTTTTCTGCTACTTTGCTCTCACTTCAGCCCTGTCCAGCCATATATCTATCTGGGTTCCACCCAATTAGCAGAGAGGTGAAGGAGGTATTGCGAGTTCACGTTATCAGTATCTCTATACAGGTACTGTAAACAGCTCCGTAACGAACTTCTCCAGATGGTCGAATCAGTCGTTAATAGTATTTCTGGAGAACACAAGAAGGTAGATACCATTATTGATCCTTCCGGTAGAAGTCACAATAGATTTGCCTATCTGCAGCATATGCCCTTTTTCGGTCACGTTAATATTTAGCATCTAGCAGTAGAAATCAGGGTATTTTTGTCCTTTAGGATCGGGTTTACCTGGCATTGCTGCCAATGATGTGCTAGAGAGCTGAGACTATAGGCATGGTGAGGAGGTCGTGGCAGTGAGATGAAGTACAATGGCGGGGCCTTAAATTTCCGCATAACCAAGACGCAGAGTTTAACAATCAAGCATTATAAAATTGTCAGACAAATGTCTATTCAAAAAAACACTTAGTTAATTTTTGATCCAACTTATAATTAATAAAGACTTCATGTCGGCATTAATCAGATTTATATGGCATTCCTTCAAAAAATTTGGACGGCTATAAAGATTTTCCACTCAAACGACAGTAAGTCTAATACAAATTGCTGTTTCAAACACGGATCCACTGAGTTGAAATGAGATTTGAATCACCTGTTTCACGTAACGATGATGGAGACGGAGCGAAATGCAGCCTTGGGATTGCAAAGTCACGGTTCAACCGAATGGTGTAGTATCATATTCAGTAGAACTAGCTTACTGTAGTCTAAAACATGAGTTTAAAAACGCATCTGTTTTGCCGATGGTAAGGGAGGCAGTAAAAATAGTGAAATTTTCATGAGAAACTGGTTTGTGGCGCTAAATAGAAGCTAAAGCCTCGCTATTAGATTTCCAGGTATTTATGTATAGTTTATTTTAGTTGTTACATGGAACTGTTATACATTAAGGAGTTTTATTGTTGGGAAAATTTCAAAAAAAAAGAAAGCGCAAGGGATTACAGACTTCAAAAAGATTTAAGCATAGAAAATGTAAGAGGGGAAGTGAACATTTTGATTAGATACTAAGCATTACCTTTGTAGAACCGCTTTGAAGTCTCAGTTTTCGTTCAGTTTGAAGTGATGAATTTGACTATTTTCAATGAAAGTGCCGAGAAAGAGCTGATATTAATCCATTAAGCAAAAGTCACATTTGTATCTTCATCACAATTTGGATTTCTAGCCCAAATTGATGACAATCTTTACAAAACTTATATCGGCGACCAAAACTGATGGAAAGATAAGCCTTTATTTTCCTACATTATTCCATCCATTCAAACAGGAAACATTATAAGTTTGGGATGGCTTTACTAGTGGACAAGCTTGTATAACTTGCCCTTAGCACATCTTTAGTTGAAACAGTTGAATGCTTTCAACGTGTTTCAATTTTATGTTAAGAAAAGAGCCACCTGCAAACCAAAAGACTTTAAAGATTTTCTTTTGTAAAGTGCTTAGATTTGCAATGCTTATAAACATGAATAAACTAAGTCTACATTTTGAGTCATGCCCTCAAATACACATGATGCACACACATATGCGTGGACTAGGACTCTTCAGTCTCCGCGGGTTTTGCTTCCGCTCAACTACGTAGCTTCCCAGCCACACCTATAGCCTCTCAACCCTTTCTTACGTTAAGCATAAATTTTTCTGCGTATTGGCATGGTTTATTACGACTCCGGGGAAGACTCGGTAACATATATATGGCCCACGGGCGGTAGTACGCTACACTATCTGCGATCAATGAAAGAGGCCCTAAATGTGGTCCAACTAAGGTTTAAATCAATCTGAATGGACATAAAAATTGGAAGAATCCTTTTCAATACAAGCTTCAGGTCTTAAGCTATCATTGAGATTGCATGAGGTTGTAAAAGGAGAAGTACGCAGGCGGCCGTTAAGAGAGGCCATTAAAAAATTTGGAGGCGATTGAACCATTGAAATAGTACAATTTTGAAAATGTCGTAAAGGGGCTATTTCTTATACCATTGAGAAAAACTTTGTGGAAAGACGATCAAATGCTCTGAATGTTGCAGTGTATCAGTTTTATGGTAAGTAATTCAAAACAGAATGCACACAATGGGCAAGTTTAGCACGGGAATGAATGCTTATAAAAGAACTCCGCATGCCATCTTTTTTAGTAGGTATTCTCCTTCTAACTCAGCAAAAAAATAAAGAGATTGAAAACGGATTGGTGTTGTATGAGAACTGACTAGCTAACACTGTGATACTAGAGTGTAGCCTTCCTAGACTCAGCTCTTTAGAACCAATAAAGTTACATAAACTATTGCCAAACTATTCAAAAAACGATGAAACTATTTAAGGTTTCATTGCAAAACACAATCCCTGTAATTCATGTATTGCAAGTATTATCATGATGTTCAATGACTCCAGATAAAAGTAGAGTAAAATCGGTCAAAGTCACTTATGTAATGCCTTGAGTAGAAATCCCCTTTTGTAGATACAGAAATAGGACAAGTAGCTACCAGGATCTGCATTGCTGAGACACGAAAAGAAGCAGTACTGGTGTTCCTATTCAATACTTATTCGAACTTACAGCATCATTAGGGAGCGAATGTAGCAAAAAAACGCTTTAATTCTCTTTGAACGATGGATGCAATGTTCAAGTCTCGGCATTGATAAAGCAGACAAGTGTAGGCATTAGAGAGGGGATAAATCTAAAAACAAACTTAATGTGCACCACCACTGGACCGTTAAGTAGGCAACTTCTAAAAACCATTTCCTAATAAAATTTGCTAGAGTTCTGAAGCCTGGAAGCTGTGTTATTTCACTTACACTAAGCTTTGCGGAAATGAACGAGCATTAATGTATCAAAAAGCCACCACCGTTGAATCTATGAAGCTAACAACTATCGGGTACTTGTGACATGACATGTGAATACTTCGGCTGTTTAACTCCTCCTTTTAGTTACACGGCCATTGCACTTCCGCCCAGCAGCATTGCCTCCGGGCCAAGTCAGTAACCCCTCCATCCTTCTGTCGATAATGCATATACTGCTCTAATATTATGTCTTCTCTTATCTTCAAGGAAGTCACGGGATGCTACAATAAAACTACGCGAATAGGCGTTCCTAAAATAGCCTCCCTCGGTGTAATCAATGTATTACGACTTCGAAATAAATACAGAAACACATCATCTTTTTTCGAGGTCACGAAATACCCTAGAGACCGAATCATAACGAAATTATCACTCCAGAAATGGCAAAGAAACAATCAGGAAATTCCGTATTTATAGGAGAAAATGCAACAATATACTCCTTCTTAAACAGCACACCGAAGTCTGCCTTAGTTCAAATTACAAACGGACCCGTTATAGAATACAAGGCTAAATTGCACCAAAGACAACTAGACGTCAACAACTAAAAATTAAGCATTAAAATGCGAGGATTAGCTGTCTGCCTTGATCAAATGTGCCTGTTCGGCGTTACTTGATTTCCCATGTTCACATTCGTAAATCCCCTGAAATTAATGATTCATTCAAAGCCTTTAAAGTCCTTCTATAGTTGTTAGGATGCAAATGTCTTTAAGTCAATCCACCGGCAAGCGTACAAATCATTTTTAGAATACCAACTCAAGTGCACCTGCATTGCGCACTTGTGGGTATGCGGAAATTGTACCAATATAAGTGACGATGAATTGTAGGGCTTTGACTACTTTTTTAGCTTGTCGTCTTAGTTTCGCGGGCACTTAAATCTTCGCGGTTTTACTTTCGCTGGGCGACCTGGCCTTCTGGCCACGCCAGTATCCCCCAGCATCCCTGTACACCGGTAATGCATTTTCTTTCCTGGTATCACATCTTCTTCCGTCTCTAGGGGAGCCTTGCTGTGCTACGGTAAGTATTTTACGGAATTACTAATAGCTGCTGTATGGAGGCAAGCAACAAACATTAGTAAGTTATTTAAATAATTTTGAGTTCATAAACATTTTTGACTGTGAAGGCCAAAATGCTACTGTAGTGTGAGACACGGTTGTTAGCCTTTCCTGCTTGCTTACTTGGTACTTTATTACCTTTTTGTTTAACTTAATTCTCTTTTAACAAAGTGGGATTTCAAAGTTCTTAGAGGTTTAGGTACTTTTTGCTACTTTACTTTTGTGACAACAGACTTTAGCGTCAAGCAAATCGTTTCTGAAGAAGTAATTCTAAGATAATTAGTTAATTGTGCATCAGGTAAATCTCAAAGCTGAATTTTATTTGAAAATAGAAGGGTTTAAATAGAAATGTACATAGAGCGTAGTACAGTAGTAATAAGTTATTGAAAAGTAGAGCCTTTAATAGGCATTATTGCTGTGAGCATTGAAGAATGGGTTGATGTCTTCTTAAGTTGACACAAACACTTTGCAGAATGCTGCAAGAGTCGCAAAACTATGACAGTCAATGGAATTTTTAAAAGGAGCGTATACAGCGCGCAAGGCAGTAGATGGAAAAGTTAGCACTAGTAAAGTGCCACAGCGAACCAGAAAAAAAGTAAGCTCAAGTTTTGCATCCCGCTTGGGAAGACTAAATTCCTCTTCTGTACTTCAAATGTTTAATTATTAAATATAGGCATGATCTCTGAGCATAAATGATTCCCTTTCAACAATACCTACCATTGCAAGCCAAAATATTACATCAAAGAATCACCAAATGGGCTGTTATAGCTCCTGCCAAAACAAACGCTTTTAAATCAAATATTCTCTAGTTAACAACCTTTCACTTGTAAAAATAAGTGGTTTGGACTATTTGCCATTAACAACCCTGTCGGGAAGATGACGACATTATATTTAAACATTAAAAAACTAAGCTGCATTGTTCAAATTCACATGCAATCCCACTAAAGCAAATTTGAATCCCTTTAAAAAATGAAGTTTAAGGAAATGGTACAGCAATTAATTTCGCCAAACACACATAATTTATGGTGCTGGTGAAAATATTAGCAAGTATTTAGACATACACTCCAAATTGACAAATTCTAGGATTGGCCGTGATGAAATAAATGAGTAATTTCGTCCAAAGGGCATTCGATAGACAGTGGAATGTAAGTTCACCAGGCATAAAATTTTGCAGCGGAGAAAATGGCCATCAAAGTGTCCACTTTTATCGCCCTGTGTGACGCAGTTATGTGTGCCCTAATGATCACATGCCCCCGATTATCTAGATTTCTCTCGGCGTTCCACAGCATGAGACCACAGGTACGAAATAAGTAGTCTATAACGCCGAATGCGCTCATGTGTGACGCGCCAATGAAAATAACCGCGTTCTTGGTATTTCTACTGAGCATTACCAAACCAATGCGTTACAGCGACTTCGACTGACAACCTGCCAGTGACTAAGTATAGCGCAAAATTTTTGTGACTTAGTTTTGCAGCCAATACCAACTCGCCCAATCTGCCTTGCATCAATGGTCGACGGTAAACCACAAGCGGTGCTCGCATCAGCGAGGAACGAGTTAGGAGCGTAACAATTAGCGAATGCTCTTAGCTAAGTGGCAGAGGTCAAGATTATTAAAATTTCCTGCTGCCCTGAATCACACCCTCACTGTTTGCTCTAGGTTTCGTGCTAGAATGCAAATTTACATTTTGCTTACACAATGTTCATTTTTGTCACTTCTTAGAAAATGAAATCCTTTCGGAATCTTCTGTGGGAAAAATTCTTATAAGCTATTTCTAAGAAACAGTGATTTAAACATACACTGAATAAACGAATAAACCATTACTTAGATGAAGTGGCAGACTTATGCACATGCTTTAGTGTATATCTCTAAAATACATGCTTTTATTCAGTTTATATCTTATAAGCCGTTTTCAGGTCACAAATACATTCCAATTTTTTATCACACAAGGAAACTTGAATTCGCACTGTATTTCTTCATTAAAAAGGTGACTGTAAGTTGACGCAATTGATGTGTTTGAAGGACAAATATTTGTAGTAGTCAGCCCCTACCACTTTCATAATCACACCAGAGTCCAATCCATATAATCAAAATGGGTTGATAGGAATCTGCGTAAACAGACAAATATAGAGGGACAACTTGAACTGCCTAGACACCTATTTAGCAAAATTGTTACGGTACAACCGCTTATAAGCGATGTAGAAGTGAAAACGTAAGCACTCACGTAAGGGGTGGATTCCTCACCTCATTTCAAACTCTGTGTGTGCTGGAGAGGAATAAACAGGATAGTAAAACTCTAAGCGGAGTAAAAGCATGAGTAACAACCTCGTCAAATTTGTATTTGCTACTTTTTTGTGGAATAAGTGGATGAGTACAAAACTGAATAAAGGATGTTAATTTATCATGCAGCAGACTGATGATGACATGACTTCATTAGGAAAGTAGTACAATTAATGTAATTGCTTAACCCGAATTTCTGTGTACGTTAAATTGTTGAGTTGTTAAATCATCAACGTATTCTTAGGTCCGTGAGAAATAGAAGTCCTACGAATTTATTACTTAACGTGAATGAGATAATTTCGATTATTCATTAAAAAGTAGCAATGAGTACTGAAATACAAATTCATAGGGCAAGTTGTTCCACGATATGGGACTCTGCCCATCCCCTTCTCTTTTTCTGCTTTCAAGACTCCGTATAACACCGCGAACGACAATGGCCCACACCAGTAATTTCTGTCTTGTAGTGAGTTGGAAATCCGGTAGCGGTTGAATCTTAGTTAAAATTAGCATCAACACAAAAAATATTATTAGCCGATTTTTAAAAAGTCGCCTATGAATGCCTTTTAAAATAAGATCGTACTAAATTTTGAGTTGTCACTTTTAATCTCGTCATTTCTTACATTCCCGGAAAGAGCAATCAGTGATATATTTCAACAGAATGTCAGGAGTAAAATAGGGTTAAAAACTAGTCTAACCAAACCTCATTCCTGTTTCGTTGAAAGAGAACACAATCACGAACTTCCTATATCATAAAATCCAAAATTGTCAACTCATATATCACACCTGCTATTTGGTTTTCATTTTATTCAGGAAATTCTAAGTTAGCCAAATTTTAAACAGTTCAATCCATATGTGGCGACATAGGTCACATTTGCCACTAAATCAGCTTAATGTATTTAGACAATGTATTCTTTTCAGGAATGAACATACTTATAACCATCAGCCTTTTGACAACCATGTCTTGCACCAGCATCGGTTTGGAGAGAATCACCATCAATTGCAACTTCTAAGCTATTTCTCTCTTCTCACCCAACTCCCATTACACTGTTCTTCTTCACGTTGTGATTTTTTAGCCTACTGCCTTGGCCTTTACCTTGGATTTTACGCTTAAGTGGTTTAAAGCTCCCTAATTGCATCTGGAGGTAAGTCAATTTGATTAACTTGCTGCGTTTCCATCCACGTAGGCATTCGACGATACGAGCCCAAATTTCCGTTGAGTCACTTTGTACTTCCAATATCATAAGAAAAGGGTTCAGTACATTGTGAGTAAGCACTATTTCGATCTCAATTTCTAATCACCTTGGAGTAGTGCATTCATCATCAATTTCAAGTTGAAATATTTCCTTAAAAAAAAACCTGAGGTGTACATTCATACTCAAAGGGAGGTAGGTTAATCAACCTAGCCACAGTATAACGTTCAAATGCATTACAGCAAATAAATTTTACAAAGTACTTCATGGTCTCTACTATAGCCGGAACGAACAAACATTTGGAGTAACTCTTGTTTGGAAAACTCGAGTGAAAATGGCTTGAGTGTCAGCTGTGGTGTGTCCACTGCATGGAAAGAAAGTAGGAGACGAGTCTGGTGGTTACATGACTAACAACAAGTAGTTCACTTCTAAAAATTTCTAAAAATTGAGGACGGCTGCATTTATTATGTGTAAGTGCATAGTGCATCAGATTATCTTGTACAAGGAGGACGTGGTAAAGGCTCAGACACCTGATTTCCCTACATTCATGCTGCCAATGAAGCCTTGTAGAATGAGATTGCATTAGAGTTGTGTGAACGAATTATGTGAATACTTTTGAAGTATGTCAGAAGCACTTATTAAGAGCAAACCGGTTAAAACAGTACGGACCTCGAATTTGCACGTGGAGGATTAAAGAGATTGATATAATTCATTACTTCTTTATTTTCATTTGCATATGAAAACTAGGATCATGAAAGATCTGAAAGACCCAAATTACCACAAGCTGCATTATGTAATCTGCATCAGCAAAGACACTTCGGTGATCGATCGTCGTTTTTATTTTTAACATTAAGCAAACTTTAGTATACTATCAGTTGAGACTTCACTCTCCCAAAATGTGAGCTAACCTTTACAGTTCGTAGAAGAAATGCAAAAAAGTAATAATGGTTACCTTCCACGCCGTCATCACCTATGTCTGATCTCTTCGGTACGCTTAAAAGAGTCACTTCAATGCATGTTTATCATCTGCGATGAAACTAAAGCGAGGTGATCGGGTCAGAGATAAGGGCCAGTTTCTCGGTGTGCTAAAAATAGCTTATCTCCGAACTCCAAGCAAAGTTCTTTCAACTGGCGTAGCCACAACTACTGTAGGCAAGTGCTTACCTTCAATACAAGGATGCTGCATCGTTAAGCTAAGGAGAAGTCTACACCACCTAGATAGGCCCGATAAATCCCTCGGAGAAAAATACTCATGGATCACATCGAAAATTGTGTACAACAGAAGTACCGAGAGCACTCATGAAGTTCACTACATTTGAATAGGTCACTAATGTTGTCACACGAAATACTCTTTTCGATGTCGAAATCAAGGTAGCATTTCCCTGTAGGGCTTTCAAGTTCATGTTTTCTACTAAACATATCAATTGTTCCATGGCGTTGGAGTGCTGGTAGATCTTCTTTACATAACATTGCCGGGGTCACGCTAGTTTTACGCGACCCCTACCTCTAACCTGCATCGAAGAGCACGTAAATCCAGTGACAGCTCTGATGCCGCCTCGCGAGTAAATGCATAAAGAAAGCAGGCTAACCACTAAAGGGCATTTTTGGAACAAATTTGCAGGAACTGCATATAGAGATGCGCCATATCCATTTAAAAGGCACTAATGTCCAATGAAAAATTGTAGTGTGGCCTTAGATTTTCCAACTTATTTGCACAGGACACATTAAGCGTGTAGAAAAATCCTCTGCCTGATACTTATGAAAAGCTCTGTTTCAATGACAAAGGCATCAGTTTAACAAGAGAGATTAATCTCGGTGATAAATACCTTTTCTCGAAAGTGATACCTGTTGTCGATACTTTGTCGCTGGTGTAGGACTTTTCCGATTGGTAGATTCCTTTTGGCACTTTCTTACCGTTTTAGTAAATGATTCTTTAGTTATAAATCTAAATTATACTAAACCAACAACGAGGACTTTTCTGACTCCGGAAATAAGAATGCTAATATTTTTCCTTCTGTTACGTAGATGTGAAAAAGCAAAAAAAGTCATCAGATAAGGAATATATGTGGTCCGAGATCTGTCCCGGTGTTTAATTATCAAATGATCAGCTACGTTTTTCAGGCAGGTCATAAACTTGCTCGGAGTCATTTGTTGATTAATTATAGCTTTCTACTACATCAGTGTCGTTTTACTTTTTCCTTTTCGTCCAAACCAAGTAGTAGAAACCCTAGCAGTAGATTGAAATAACCAAGTTTTTGTTCTAATCTTTAGAACTGTTCAAAACCCTTAACCCTCTTAACATCACTGATCTAAGAAATACGCTTAGGCAAAATCAAAGAAACCATTTGTAGAAATCTTTGTGAACAATTGTTCGGACCCTTTAACCCATGGAAAAACATGGCACTATGAACTTAGTGGGAATCCGTAAGCCAGGTTGTCCAAGTCTCAAATTGCAGCATTCAGAACTTTCTGAATGGTCCTACTCAACTTATCCTCTCCTTAAAATAAATGTGTTCCGGTAAGTCTGTTAAACATTTAGGCAGAACAATCTTGCTAACTTGGTGTTATAGGGCATAGGCACCAAGACCGCTTGGCTTTTGAGTAGAAGGATGGTGATTTTTAACTTGATGGCCCAATTAAATTGATTCCCGCACACTTGAAATTTATTTTAATTTGGGCATCACTAATAACAGAAAGATGTCAGGAGCAAATTAAAACGCATGAACCAACGCCTTAGTATGCAACCGAGGTTTCTCTTCACAGTCCCACAAATTCACCCACTTACAATTAGCGGAAGTAACGTACATGTAAAGGTTGACTCCTGAATTCCGTGCAATGAGTATTAACGCAGATTGAAATTTAAAGACAATAAGAAGAAGATAAAATATACTCTGCAGAACAACTTTACCCAAAAATTGTGGCAATAGACCTTTTAAGTTGGAATTCACATGCACCATTGTCCAGTTTTAATTTTAAGGAGGAAAATGAAGCTCAATTTCGAAGCCAGGCATAGAGTATGCGGATGCCCCTGGTAAACCATAGTGGTGAATCGTGAATTCCATTTTAGAGTGGCATCACTTCATTGGAGGCGTTTAACCTGTAATTTCCCACAGGCTAATAACTGCTCTCGGTGGTGCAACCCGACTTTTGTCTATATGATGAGGATGATTAATCCCCTTTACGATTTGAAATATTTGTGGATTGCGCAGTCATTTTTCATATCAAGTATTCAAATATCAATTGCTTAACTGAGATTTGTAGGTATTTTTTGTCACAGTTGCCAGTGGTTTCAAAGATTGCTACGTTGTCCCGTCATTCAATCTTCCTCCTCCTCCTCTACTAATCTGGGAGTTGGAGCTGGGGAGCACATTCATCCATCCATTCATCCACGCTTTTCCCTCTTCCTCTGCCTCCTCGGATCCATTTTTGGTCAGTGTCACCTTCTCCATTTAGGTGTGCTTATAGTGTCAAATGTTTTCCTGCTGCTCCAAAATTGGCAGGCTATAATCACATCGATGTACGTCTTTACTCCGAAATAAGCCTAGTAACAGTCATACTAACATACTGCACTACAATTAGGGCTACTTCCTCACTGAAATTATATGTATCACGCACATTCGTTTCATACCTGAGGTCTTTGGCATTTGTCCTCCTTAATTAACTTCTTATTCGTGAGAAAAATCGTAAACTCACGACGGGTTTCGCCCGTGGCAAATAAATCTTCTTTAGCGTTAATGGAAGTTATCTGATTTCTGCACCCGTGATGAGGTGTGTGTGTGTATGTGCAAGCCTGCGTGTTCACCTATACGGGTAGGCACGTGTACGGACGAGACTACACTACGTTCTCGTTCTGCGAATACAACGACAGTCGTTCTCCCGTGCGCCCGTCCCCGCTCCCTCTGTCTCCCTGTTTGTGTGTATGTGCGTGCATGCACGTGCGTGCCTAATTGAATTCTTTCCTCTTCCTCGTGCTTATTCCAGGGTGCGCACGTGAGCATACATGCCTAGGTGATACACCGCACGAGGGCATGCATTATTATCCCAGTACATTGGCAGGTGAGCTACTCCAACCGGCCAATAGAATGCTCGCGTGCACGCACGCACGCGCGTATACGAGTTCCCCTTCTGCCTCAGGTTGTGCACACATACGCGCACGCACAAGCCAACATTAGACACACAAATGGAGCTACGGCAATCCCTCCGCTGTCCCTGATATGCTCTTCTTCCGCCACCCGGCCCTTCTTCTCTCCATCCTTCTCATCATCGACCTTATACTTATTGTGTCGGGAATAAATGCGGGCAAAAAATTGGGAAAAGATAAGGAAAAGAAAAAGAAGTCCAAATCTCGTTTGGTCGCAACGGTGCCTGGTGACATAATTCTTGGCGGTCTTTTTCCCGTGCACAGTTCCGGTGCTGTGAAGTGCATGTCACTCAACCCGGAGCGTGGCATCCAACGATTGGAGGGGATGCTCTTCACTCTTGACGAAATTAACAACAACTCCGCCCTACTTCCGGGCTTGCGGTTGGGCGCCAATCTGCGAGATACTTGCTCGCTTGGCAACCATGCGTTGGAACAGTCGCTTGACTTTGTAAAAACAACCGTGGATGACGTCATGAACGAACCGAAGGAGCAGGACAAGATGTGCGTGTGTCCCTGTGCTCCCGGCGGGGTGCCATATTGCCCCGGTGGAGGACAAGGAATGCCTGGCGCAGCCATGCCACATCCGACCTCGTGGAGTCAGGACATTGTTCGAGGTGTGGTGGGTGGGTCGTACACAACTGTGTCCATTCTCGTGGCCAACCTCTATCGACTCTTTAAGCTACCTCAAATCTCCTACGCCTCAACTAGTGCCGTACTTAGTGACAAGAGGACCTACCCATTGTTTGCACGCACCGTGCCCTCCGACGTGGAGCAGGCGCGTGTGATGGCAGCCCTCGTGGCAGCACATAACTGGACCTATGTGTCAACGGTACGAAGTGCTGGTGATTACGGTGACTCCGGAATGGATGCCTTTTGGAAGGAGGCGGACAAGCGGGACGTATGCATCGCCGCGAGGGAGGTTGTACGTGGCAGTTCCACGTCCAATGATCTTGACGAGGTGGTACGCGTGCTTCGTTACGGCTTCTCAAAAGCTCGTGTGGTTGTTCTCTTCACCAGGATGGACCACACAAAGTTGCTACTAGATGCTGTTAGGAGGGCAAATCACACCGATCACTTTGTTTTCATTGGCAGCGATGGCTGGGGTAGAGAAAATATACCGGTTTTGAATAACTCCCGCGTCGCCAATGGGGCACTTACAATCGAAATTCTTGCTACTGAGATTGATAAATTTTCTACTTATTATAAGAATCTGCGATGGGATAATACACGGAACCCGTGGTTCACCAAGTTCTGGCAGTCGTTATTCGGTTGCACTTTCGACAATTCGAGTACTCAGAATGACGTCCCGCACTGCGAGGTGACCAAAAACAAACGGCTTGGTGACAAGTTGCCTGAGCCTTTTAAGCAGGAGGCAAAGATCCAGTTTGTCTATGACGCCGTCTACGCCCTTGCGCACGGGCTACACAACCTTCAGCAGAAACTCTGTCCCTTCGACCCAGACCCTGCAAAGTGGGACAAAAATGAGTGCATACGAAAGCTTCTGGCCTACCCTGGGGATAAGTTCTACAAAATTATTATCTCAACGACCTTCAAAGGTATCTTTCGTGCTTATCATATTTAGTTCGAAAACCGAGTTGTCACCCACAAAGACATTTTTGGTGCTTACTTCACATTACCATGTCCACTCAGACATTTAGCGGTTTGATCACAAAAGTTTCAACAAATGTAGCGGTTGCGTAAGTGAAACATCGTTTTAATATTTGGCCGAACTATGAGTAAAACTGTTAATATTGTTAGGAGGACATCAGACCACTTAAATTTCTAAAATAATTGTTTAGTCGCGCATCGTCATTCCCGCGATCCCCAAGGAAGCACAAATAGGCTTTTTAATTCCAACAATTCATAAAAACTTAAATGCTGCCGGCCAAATTACTATTTGATTTCATGAAAAAAGTAGATAACTCATAAATAGTACGATAGTGTTGACTTACTCCCACGTCTATTTTATGGTAATCCAGCTTTCTTCCTCGTAACAAGTCAAACACTGCCCACTAGGCTGTTTTCCAATGGCCTTGATCGCTACATGACAGTAGAAAACCTCATGGGCAAGCCTAAGCTTATGTGGGAGGTAATATGAATGGGTTAAAGTGCCGCATTTCACAGATAGCTCAATTGACACCCTTAAAAAGTCGGGCGCTCCATTTGTCATCGTTGAAATGAATAACTAATGCCTTCTATTTTCGGAAGATTTGTGAATGGTAGGAGGGCCTTAAATATGCTCCCTTTTATGTTATAGATAACGCACAAAACGAGTCACATGATTTGCTTGCCTTCGACGATGATTGGTGTTGTTCAGTGCCATAATGGGCGAATAATTTCAGCATTAATGTAATTTATGAATCAAGGATTACTTAAGTCGGTTTACTACCAACTTCTTAGTGAAAAATGATACTCGAGCATGTTTCTAGGTGTGAAAAAAAGGGAAGAACGGAGAACTCTAATCGGTGGCAAAAACATGGATAGAGAAGTCTATTAACCTTTGTCATGCCTGGATATATTTTGACAGAGATGTATTGTATACTTACTAGCATTCAGTTATCTAATGAAAAAAGACCTGTGCAGGGCTATTTAGTCTATAATAATGTGTAGTTCTAGTGAAAGATATCATTTGTAGCTGGAAAAAGTCAGCTTCCACAAACTGATGGTGACCAAAAGAGGTGGGCGATCATCCGTTGAACGGCATGCAGAACAATAAACGATGTAATCACAATGTACTCAACTGCAATTGGTTACCATGACAATTGACAATCGGAACACTCATCTTGGCGCCTACAGGCATTTAAACTGATTTATAAAAGCCGAATTCTAACTGCTTAAGAGAATATTGTCTAGGCAGGTGCCAAGACTAACTTATTTTTGGCTCTATTTGGTTTACCAGTGTCACGAAACCGCTTGTCATTTAAATGAACAACTGCTAAATATAAGGAAATATTTTGGTGAAGATAAATTGGGGGTAGATATGATTAGTCCAATGCCATAATCAATGTCTAAGTGTTCAGATGTTGCAAAAGAAAAAGAACAGAAAAAGTTGCAGACAATGACACCAGTTTCGTTAAAGTCGTAATTGATGCCAAGAATGAGATGCATTCCTTCATCGTCGGCAAAGCTGATTGCGTGTATGTTGTGACGACGTGCCACTGAAATAAATGGACGAGCATCTGCCAGCACTTAAGACGGCTTTCGAGGACTATATTGGAGGAATCGCATCTCATCCAAGTGTCCTTCATTTGACACCCAAGCAATGGGCTGACTGCAACATTCGGTAATTCACTGGTCAATGCCTCAGCGCTTGCGTATTCAGCTCCCTCAAAATGAGTGCCATTTCGCCGTTGCGTCATATAATCTACAGTTCATTGGGCTCCCCATCAATTCTAATCCACTTTTGTAGCACGATCTAAAAAAGAAAGAAGTTTGATTGCTCGGTGGTGAAATGTTAACTGAATGTGTGTGTGTGTGTGTGTGTGCTAGAAGAATTTAAGCTGCAACAAAGTTCTACGCGAATCAAGGCAAATAGTACTTACTTAAAATATGAAGTCCTAAGACCCTTCTTATCGCACAATATGCCCATGAAGAGCAAACAAAACAGTCTTATGCAAAAAAGGTAATATTTTGTTACTTATTTATCGGGTTTTTGCATGCAAAACTATTCATAGTCCTCGTTGTCACCGTTTGCGCGAGTCTTGAGGATTGTAATCGCTCAAACCCTCCTCCAAGACTGTCCTTTCCTTAAATAAATTATGATATTGAGGGGAAAATCCGGTTTCTAACAGCCCATAATTTTCCAAATCCCGACTGTTTCGCAAAATACTTAATATTATTAGCTTTTAAAACAGCTACAGTTCAAAATTAGTGCTACTTGCTAACATCTAGCTTAAGACTAAGAATCGTCTGGTGTAGCATTAAAATGTATGACAAGTTTAAATTAATTTCTGCTGCAAAATTGCCCGGCGAGAGAATGAATTTTCAATTTCAGATTAAAAAAGTAGAGACAATAAATGACTCCAGAAGCGCGTGTGTAAATATGACTGCATTGCACCTACCAGAAAGTACCGACCCGGGACCCTTTGGGAAGTCGTCACGGTCTAAATGTAATTCCCCTTACTCAAGTGACTAATGGCACACGAAGATCTGCAAAGATTTATTGTATAATTCCGTTTTTCGTAGAGTCATTCACCTACAATTAGGGAGCTTTGAAAATTATTTGTACACTTTTACCAATCGCAATAAAACTACCATATTTTAAGCTTATCATACTGAGTTGGTAAAGGGTAGACGTACGTAAATCATCAACCTTACTTCAATATCATTTATGTAATTTTTGGTGCATAGAAAGCACTTCAACCTACATCCCAATGAGCTACATGATGAAAGAACTAGCCAATACGCCTTGGTCAAGCATTTCTCTTCTTTTATTGATACATTACTTACCTAACGAAGTTGCTATTATTATTTTATCGTTTTCATTTTACCACTCCCAAAGCTCCAAAAACTTGCCAGAAAGGAGGTGTGATAAAGCCAGTGTGCGGTGTGGATTTTCGCTATATTCTACTCTTAAAATCCGCCTGGTTTGCTTTTATTCCACCATCAAGGATAAAATTAATGAGATCTAGACTGCATCTAGGCACGCATCAATTTAGTACAGGACCAAATTTGTTCCGCATGTAGGCAGTAAATGAAATTATTCACGTAGCCACTGATTATGCATTATCAGGCTACTTATCGTCTCATAGCCTAACACAGTGCAACACTGCATCTTCGTACGCAAACATGTAAAAATGGCGGTGAAAGCGCGGTAGGAATGAAAGTTACTTATAAATTATAGATGGTTCGAAAACTAAATTAACTTATTTGCTGGTGATTAAAGAAAGCACAAAGAAGTCCATTGGGCAATTTTAAAAGCCGTAAATCAGGCTTTCAGATCAACTTTGCTCTTGATATGGGAATTTCTAATTCGTAGGATGCAATTTGAGGATGAATTTCCTCGATGTTGCGATCATACATAATTTGAGTCTAATCGTTTGTTGATTGAAAATCGCACTGTCATGCTATATTGCAAATTCAGTTGACTTAGAAGTTGTGGTTGAAGTTAAAAAGACAATGGGGTTTTGAGAGTAGATGTGGAGGCGGCTGTTCTTGAAAGACTGTGAGCAAATACCTCGATGGTCCCAGGTGGTCACTTTAGAAAAGAAAAGCCGAGATTCGAAAGGGAGGAAAATTAACTTTTTTGGAGTGGCTTGTTTTTCGGTTCTAGATTACCAACCATTCTTACTCGAATTATGGGACTCAACTTGACAATTGCTTTCAACAAAAGATTCCTTCTTGCTCGATTCTATTTTTAGTATCCGTTTCATTTCTCGCAAATACATACAAAAAGAAGCCACTTCTTCCACCAAATTGAGATTTAATGCAAATATCATCTTCTTCCGTTGGTTTGCAAAAAAATGACAAGCCGTAAAACTTTGTAAATAATCTGCAATTTGAAAATGAGTTCTAAATAAGTTCAAACGAATTTCTCCATAATAAGATTTGTAGATGCTCAATTATTTTATTCTGTAGGGAGTAAATATTGCCGTCATTTTCAAACACTATAATTAAAGGGTAAGTCTTATAGTCAAGTAAAAAATAAACTAAACAGAAGTAAAAGTGCGCTAAGCGTTTCTGTCGATACTGTAAATTTTGCTTCCTCGATGTTTTTGCTCCAAATTAAGGTAGCAATCTGCAAAATATCTCACAAACTTCAATACACAAGCATTTATTTTCTTACCCATTTGCTACAACATTATTTCGGAAATATTTCAGTTGGGAGTGTTGTTCCTTATGTGGAGTTTATTTTAGTCTTTTTTTCCTATTGACAACTTCCCATGCGATTCTGACGTAATGTAAGATAACTTCAAACTTATGCTCCATGGAATTTGGAAATGTTTTTTTCCGCGTTAGATAACTATAACAACCTGGTTGCCTTCGACGAGAACGGCGACGGTGTCGGCCAATACCTGATCTACAATTATGCTCGCGACCTCTACTCCGGCGAGTACCAGTACCGATTGGTGGGAGACTACAAGAACTCAAAGCTCTCCATGCGCTACCGTCCGATTTGGCCCGGAGGCCAGTCTAAACTTGTGCCCTCCAGCCAGTGCTCCGAAGAATGCCCGTAAGTCGCTCCGCCGTTTGTGACCTTTGATTAAGAAATACGCCCCGAAAACAGAGCGAATCAATTTCATTGAGCAGTTTTACGATGAAATAATTTTAAAGTACAGCAAAGTAGTTGCAGAGTTGTGTCATATAGTTGAATGTAGAGTAGAATGTTGAGGAACGGGGTAAAATGCTTAACCCAATGCTAATTTTACGACCAGCTTCAGCCATACCTTTAAAATGTAATTCATTGAGCTGCTAATGCTTCCTTAGTCTTTTGCGTGTAATTTGTTTGAAGAAACTTGCCAATGAACTGCATCGAAAAACAGCTTTCTATTTTATTACCCGCTACTTGCCAATTTTGTGCATTATACCCAGCAAGAGTGCTAAACCATACTAACTATTATTAATCATATTCTGTTATGGAATTTTCTTTGTAAACTGCAAAATAAAATTTAACGTGCGCATTTGATCCCTAGATTTTAAAGACATTTGTTATTTTAAGGCTACTTTGATATTAGCAAAGGTCATTGAGAATTACACAAATGACTAGCATACGCATTCCTTACAAAGACATTTACAGTGTTTTAGAAAGATATTTAAAAATCGCATTCCACTTTACTAAAATTCACAAATCAAAGTCAAAAATATGTCAGAAAGCCGCAGTAAAATGGTATAGTTCATTAGTTTGCTTTTCTAGCCAAATGATCATGGAGGCAAATTGAAGGAACCCCAAAACCAACAGTCGGAATCTACGACAAATAAATCGCAAGAGCAATTCAGTCTATTTCTACCAGCCTATGTCCGTTGTACCGTATATGAAGACCACCGGAGAATTAATTTATTTCGATTGGAAAATTTTTAGATGTTGTAAAGCCACGTCTAAAATTTTTATGAAGGCATTCGCAATCAAATATTCATTATATTTTTATGATCTCACCGTAGCTTTGAAATCTCCTAGTAAAGTGTTCAGACGCCAATTCATGTTTTTTTGCCAACATTTTAAAGTGTTTAGTAGAAATTCCTGATTCCATTTCTGATGATCCGTTCAACCTTAAGGACTCGGTAGATTCATCAAACTGCTTACGCATGATTTATTGTAGAGGCTCGCCTTCTGTACCTTGAAATAAATTGTCTAGTCATTGCTCTCAAGGTCAATTGGAATGGACAGGGCTCAGCCGCTGCTACGCTCTGTAAAGCATGCAGATACTGACCGAGGAATCAGCATCGCTGCCGTTCCTAAAATGCCAACAATTATCCCACCCAAACCTCTTTACGCAAAACCAGTCATACGCGACAAAAGTAGTCGTTTCATTCATTATATGGGACACATAAATGATGAGGTTATGATCCGAACGCCTTATAAATTCATACGAAGTGCGGTTTTATGCGTGATACGGAGGAACGGTGAACTTTAGTGGTTTAACTGAAAGTGCTGTCTTTGAGAACCGATGAAAATTAATTTTCCATCGAGATAATTCAGTTAGGCTGTTTACCGACGCTCTACCTAACTTTTCTCCAAAAAAAGCCTATTAGTGCTAAGCTCTTGAATTGTAACTGAATGCTGCAGCTAACTGCTGACGTAGGCCGCTCCCACGACCTGACAGCATAGACGCAAAAGTGTCCACCGTTGCTCAAGTAATTATTAAGTGCATTGAACTCAAGGGGGGTCAATAGGTCTTCTTCATCCCGGTACTGACAGCCAATAAATGTATTGTAATAAGTATTACAACTTCCGCTATCGGTTAGAACAAACTGTTCTAATTTAGCATTGGAAAAGGTTTACCTAGTTCTTCAAATTTATTTTCAAAATTAGCCTACGTGATGACAGACTGATTGAAGAGCAAGCGGAGTATTTATTTGTACGTCTTTAAATAAATTGCTCTTAGGACATGCTTCAAAGACCTTTTCGTGGAACCTCGTCAGGGCAAAGTGTGCGGAGATGACAGATGCTATTAGCACCACCATGTGCAAGTATAGGTAAGGGGAGGCACGTGCGATGCTTCTGGCCCAATCCATAGAAGGGTCCTCTTAACGCCTCCTAAGCTGATGGTAGTCTTACCGATCACAACATGTTCTGAAAATAGCGGCGGTTTTAGCCCTTTAGACGAGAATGAAGGGACTTACAGAAACGGTTCATTGACGCACCTTGGATACATTTAAAATAGTATTTTTATAGCGATTTGTTTCATGCAAAAGCACTCGGTCAGGTCTAGCTATAATGACTGTTCTTCTCCAAAATAATGGAAACGTTTTTATAAGTGGTGTAGATGAAAACGAAGCTTAATGTTGTTGACAAAACACTAGAAGTTTGATATTGAGCTTGACGTACCATTTCCTATTCGGGACTTTGTACTAATTGAGAAGACCGTATCAAAAGTTCTTGTGAATAAACTATCAGAATTCATTTATAACCTTGATGAATGCTGGTAATTCAAGGTACTGCATTAACGAGGTGCCACTGGGCGATTGTGCTTCACTGCTGCGTTTGTAAATCCGACAGCCGAAGCAATAGCACCTACTTTAGTTCGTAAGATTACTTCCTCCGATTGCGTCCACAATGAACGTCAACGATGCATCACTGACATTTGTCAGGAAGTCATATATGCATATATATAGTAAATGGACCACTCTTTAAATATCTTACTTATGGTTACCATGTTAGATCTCAAAGACTGCTCTCACTGCCTGGGGGCAAACTAATTACTGTGTAGTTTGGTGGACTGCGATCCTGTCTGTTTACGCTAACTGCGGTAATTTCACATGTTTTTTGTCTGTACCAAGGGTCAGTCAGTGTTATGGATTCGTCACCTTAAAGATAATTTAAGAGCGGTACACATAACGTCCAATTCAGGAGGTTCGATATGAATAGTCCACCCGTTAAAGCGCAGCTGGGCGCTTACTGTATCATAAAGTTCAGCGTCTACTTTGACCGCTCACTTGCTGTCCTAAATAGCACAAAATTGAATGCTATGAAAGTATCCATAAAGCATATCTTTTAAGTAAGTACCTCTGGTTTATTGGCTGTTAATTCGGCATGTATACTGCTTCGCATACTTTGATTATGACAACTCAATTCTACACAATGGTAGCTAGTGAGTAATGCGGGCGAGAGTCTCTGTCAAATACAAGACTTCTTAAAGCCTTATTCGAGAATCAAATTGTGATTAAAAGGTTCAATAATCGTCATTCTCGAATAGGAAGACTGGTAATCTTTTAGCGAATTGAGGAGTGACCGCACCTTAGCTATATATCTCGCATGCATTTATCTCCACGTTTATTTACATCTCTTACAGGCAATTTTGGATTCATTAGTTATTTATAGGAGTAATCATATGGGATATTTCTTTTTTGTATTTATGTGCAGGAACTTTGGTTTATTAGCTCTTATTGTTAACAACGAAAACATTTGCATGAAGGAGCAAAGTCACGTTACTTTTATCTCCAATGTAACCCCTATTAGAGAGGGCATGAATAGCATACATGGGCGGCCATTACCTCGTCGAAGGAATCACCTCACTTCCCGCTGTACATTTGACATCATTTACACTATGCTATGTACAGCCTTGGAAGATCTTATCGGAAGGCAGAAATTTCAAGGATGGACAGGTAAAGTTAAATGCAGTACACATTAATCCTCACCTTAATAGTGGGCAGATGATTTCAAATGTCAGCATTCTTGTGAATTATTTGTCCAACATTGGCTCCTCAAAGGCACACAACAATTGCAAAGATACAAAATTTGAAAGTTTTGTAAATTTATAATTTGTGCAGTTTTATCTCATCAGGATACACTAGAATTTCTAAAGCTTTAGCAACTAGCTTTGCCAGCCCCTTTGTCCTCTGTTTTCTACAACCAAATTTTAATTTAGTGGAAGTTCTCGTCACCGGTGATGCAGTTTTCATGCTTAACACACCCGATGTTTCCTGAATTCTGAAGACAAAATCTGATGCAAGTAGTAAACCGGAGATTTCTTTTGCAGGCTCTAGAGTTATTTAATTTAGAATTGGTTGCTTTTAAATGCTTTTTTATTTGGAAGTGGCTCACTGTAAAATTTCCGCAAGTGTCAATTTAGTGACAAATCTAATGGCACTAGGAATGACCACTGCTAATTGCTGCTAAAGTCACTCATCTAATTACCTTAGACAATTTGTTTTAACAAAGCGTAAAAGATTAACAGAAGGGTAAGGTAAATGTGATCGAACATATTAAATGGTTGTTCACGTCATTTCTTGATTCCACACTCCACTTTTATATCTCCAACTTGCTACTTTTGTAAGGACAACTAATCGTCCAAAGGCCATCTCCTGGCTTACGCGGGTCCCTTACCTGAAGGCAGGCCCAGTCATGCCAGTGTCCCATTGATTTTCAGCTGACAGATCGGGAATACCCAGTAGGAGGCGAAGGCATAAAAATGAAAACTTTCAGTTTTATCACCGTCATTTGAGATTATTTACTATGTTATCGGACATTAAGTGAAAGACAGCTGTCAAATATACTAACAATTTACAACTGCTGAGGTAAACAGGAAGCAAGAATTACTAGTAAGTACATTTCGCCAAACTTTAGTACTTTATTTTTCACAAATACGTTCGTTCTATTTTCCTCTCAGAAAAATTTGTGTTTTTGCAGGGTTTATTGTTAGTGATAGGCACAGAATTACTTTATGGTCAACTCTTCTTATCTCTGATTTCTCCAAACAAATCATGCCTTTAGGACATTGCCTAGGCTTAACTCGGACGGTCCTTGGAATTTATATGAGCTTGCCAAAAAGTTACCAAGAATTTATTGCCTCTCCCTCATTTTGTGTGTTATTCCACACCTAAAGTAGCATATTAATGGTCACGGTTACACTTGGGTAGGTAAAATCACTGAAACAGTAAGTTCAGTTGAACTGTTGGGTTCACTTTGTAAGTCCTACTCAAGTGATTAACTTAGTTAGGGCCTAGAGGAACTCCGTTGCACATATTTTGTAATGCATTCAAAGCGGTCTCCATCCCCCACTATGGAACAAAAGGTGAAGCAGCACAATTTAAAAGTATCCAAAATCCTCTCCGGCAAGATGCTAAACTATTATGATAAAACTATAAATAGCACTGTTGTTCGTTAAGAAATCATTGGTGCATGTAGAGGCAAATTCGGAATGGTTTTTATCAAATTACTGTAGCTAAATTACCTCTTTTAACAGTGCATCGAAAATCGCATTTAAGTCCCCTCGCGAAAATCCATTTAACTTTGACAATTCAATTGCTTTTTCATAACTATTGTGCCGTCTTAAATGGTCTGCTACCACAACTTTGAAGATTTCAGTACCTTCAACAAGTGTGGCATCGGTGAGAACAACACGATAGCTACCCTCGTAGTGGCCACGCACATTTCTGTCAGAATACTAACCATATCTCAAATATTTTCCAATCATTCACTCAAGATGCCTCAGTGCTAAGATCGAGCAGCACGCATAACAACTTTGCATCTTACCTTCTTCGTGAAGAATACCTTAAATTATTTTTATTTATTCGGGAAAGCATTCTTACAGCACTAATTTAATGCATTAGAAAAGCATTATTCTACAAAAAAGCATAAGTGCAAAAAAGAACGAGACCTTACCTCTACAATCTTAGCTATGTTTACTAACCTCCTGAAAACAGATGCATCAAATGATAAAAGGCTCCCGCCAAAGGGTCGTTTTGCCTCCTCCAGCTACCTATACAGCTATTCTTAAACCACTATTTAATTGTCACGTACTTTGCCTCAAATAATTAGAGGGGCTTGGAGGTTATTTAAGAAGAAAGGCACGTAACTATTTACAAACGAATGCGAAGTTCACGATCTAGATAATGAGATGTCATAAAATAGAAGAACCCTTAATCTGCTTCCAATCTAGTTTTGCTCCGGTCGACTTTCTTCGCCCTCATAGTCTGCCAGTTTGTTTTAAAACCATTTTACGCAGTATCCACACACTTGGAGTTTGCGAGGCACCAGCATGTAATGATATGGCATCGCTGAATTAAAATAATGGCATGCAATGTAATTGTTGTTAGCAATTTTTTAGATTATTTGTTCCATTCACTCAAAAATATTGATATATTTCTAAAAGGGTTGGTTTTTAATGCTAGTTTTTGATTGCATGAATACACCTCCATGTTAGGCGGGGAGGTCAGCCACACTAACTGTTGTATCGTCTAACTAAACTCCCAAGCACAGGATTACCATAAAATGAATCATTTTTCTTGTGCTAACTCCGCAAAGCCCATTTTAAACTAGTAATACTTTTTGTTGCTGGTGCTGCTGCTTCCGCTAAATGCCCACAATTTCTTTAAGTTTCATTGTTGTTTTGCCACGATCACTCAAGCGTTGAGATGGAAAATGGGCAAATGGCGGTCAAAAAAGAAAGCCATAAGTTAAGTTCACGATTGCATGATCTAAGTCTGAAACTTCTTGTAAGTAGTTTTTTTCGTCAGTTTAATTGATTAACACTTTTTTCCCTAGAAATTTCGGTAATTAACTAATCACAGGTTAAGCATTAGTAAGAAAAGTGGGAGTGTTACAGCTCGTATGAATTCTATCTCGACTTATAGTAAAACATCAGCTAAGTTATCCTTAATTGGATGTTTGTCTTAGGCAAACAATGTATTCTTCAATACAAACTGATGAATGCGTTGGTTTCTGTTTATCCTAGTTTGAGATAAAAGTAACCATTTGCTGCATACTTCTGTAACTCATAATATGAATTTACATCCAAAAGCGATTTAAGCTGCGTCTACTATTTGACAGTTAGATGGAAAACGTACGTTTGTACTACCCAATGATTCTTCGAGTTAGGCATGCCAAAAGCTTTGTTTGAAAATGTCTTAGATGCTAAAAACAAGCGCTTTCGCGTTTACGAAATGGACAGCTATATTTAATACAACAGCTCAACAAATTATCACAGTGTCCTAGCCCTTGTCAATATATGTCACTTAATGTTAGGCTGTGAATAAAATTATTCCTATCTCACTTGCGTAAAAACCGAGTATAGGAGTGCAAAAGTCAACTTGAGGTATTACCAGAAATCTGTTGATTTAGTGGGTATGCGACACCTCATAACTTTCTGCAGTACGAGGGATTCGACCATGCCAAAGAAGATTTTTTAAAAGGGAAAATATATGTTAATTAGTATTTGATTCCACAAAATCCTATTATTTTAACTGTCAGATATTTAATAGCTATCTGATATGCTCAATTAGCATAAGTGGAATAAATCTGAAGACAAAAAGTTGTCATCATGTCAAGTGATGCATTAATTTTATAGGCATAATCAATCCAATTATCCCTTTCTGAAACCCGAGTTCAAAAGGTCCGCATTGTCAACCAAAATAATGGTAGTGACTAGTTTAACATGGCGAAAAGTATCTGTTTATTTTGTGATCAATTGCGGTAGGTTTTATTTTATTGGGGTCATTATAAACATAATCAAGTGAAACCAACCGTAGTATACTTACTTGCTTTCCTTGTAGGTTCAAAGGAAAAGTTACATAATATGACCTACTTTCGCATTTGAATGGGGGTAGATTAATAGTATGGTATCAAATCATTAACGTTGGAGCTCATCTGGCCAAAGCATTTTTCATCCGTTGAACTTTAATGCTCGGTCACATCATGGAATTGGTTAAAGCGGCAAGCAGCCCTGAACTGAAGATCATTTTTTGTAGATTTGGCTCAGTGCGCAAGTACAGCAAGAAGCAGCAGTGCTGTTGGACATGCGAGGAGTGCCAGTCAAACCAGATAATTGTGAATCTGACGCACTGCCAGACTTGTGAGGACCAGTACTGGCCCACACTTGATCGAAGGAAATGCGAGCTGCTTGAAGTAAGCTGTTCTTCGCTCTCGCTCTCTCTGTCTTACGCTTTGACCAAAAGCACTCTGCCCTGTTCGCTTCTCGATTACTTTCGAATAAGTTTAGTTTAAACATTATTCTCGATATAACTAAGGTTAGGTCTCGATGATCAACTAATTATTTGAACATCAGATGTTTGGGATATTCGTACAAATGGGATTTTGCAGCTTATTAATTTTACATTTCGTTTTGGTCGCGACTTAATAATTAGAACATACACTTTGGCCTTGGAGATGGTACACCCAGAACATAATTGTTTGAACATTTCATTTTCAATTTCTGCTACTTTGAGGAGTGAGCAAAAGCTAGATGTTACTGCTGAAGTAGAATTTATTTCTAACGAAAAGCCAAATATCCTATTTACATCTAAAACGGTTGAGACAAGCCCTTCTTCGACCTAAATACCTCTGCAAAATGTTGTCATGACAACGTCAAACGCGTGGACCACCTTAAAAGGGCACTTATACATCTCCTAATGGGCCCTAATGACTTAAGCATTTTTAGGTAATTGGTTAATTTACATAAATAATGTCCTGAATTTATTAATTTGTCTCAATGCAGTCTATGGCCAGCCAGATGAGTTCTCTCAGTACCTCTAGATTCAAGTTTGAGTTTTGGTTGACGTCATATAGACTCCCTTCAATGGTATTAAAAGCTTTAAACAAGAAATAAAATGTTGCCAAATAGGATGAGATCGTTGACCTGTTAACATTTTTCGCCATCGTGCCATTTTGACATTCTAAGGAGAACGTGGAATATCCAAAATAGATTTACAGAATGGTCTCATGAGGTGTCACTTACCTGTAATCCGTTCATACTCCCGTAAATTTGATGAATAAACTGTTCTACCTAAGGATTTCGGTCGAAAGAGAGTTTAATAAAATTTAGGCAGCAATGAATACTGTAGTTATGCAATAAAGTTTTGCGGAAGTAAGGTATGATCATCGATGTGATAGATGGTCGTGGCATTATCGAGAATGGTTAAGTAGATAAAAGCGTAATTTTTAAGGTTTGTTTTCATTTTAATGCGCCACTTTTGTGCTAAAACTACACCAGTGGACACTTTGCAAGTAAGGTTTTTACATCGCCTTTTTTTAATTCAAAATAGACAAAATGAAATAAAATCGTTGGCAATACTCTACGCTTGTTCTAGTGAATGCGTTGTGTTTGAGTCTGTTACTCCTTGATGGAGTTTTAGTTGTAAATCCCACTATTTCTTCACCAAACCCAAAATTAGTTGGCACCATTTCGTTTAAATGGGATATCCTATGCGTTGTTCAAGAGCGATGGAAGATTGACAAAAAGTTATTTAAAACATTCAAGGGAAATTTCCGACTAATTTAAATAAGGGCAGGAAAATATTGGAGGACTTTTCATGCGATTATGTGCCCCATCTAGAGAGGACATAGCGCAATCATATAAATGCCTTTCTTTTTGATGACCTTGGTGACAGGGCATTATCAAACCTCCTTTTGAACACAATTTCAGGAAATTTGATGTTTAAATGGTCTCTTGACCATTTAAGCTGTGCGATGCATTAAAATTCTTCTCGTAAGTGCTGGGCAACCATAAAAAGGCTCATTCATTTTGAAATAAACAGGCAATCCACTTCAAGCCCAAACTCACGAATACGGTACTGGAACTTGCAGGTACGGGTGTCGATTTCGAGGCAAAAACACCAAATACCCGATAGTTTACTCCACTTTTTTTCAAATAACGATGCTCAACAACAAACCAGCAATTCAAATGGCTGATTGGACAACCTGAAGTGGTGAAAACACTCCTTTTCTTTATGCCTTTGGATCGGTGTTTCAGTACTTGAAAAACCCACTTAGTTGTACCTATTTAGCTGCCTTGGTTTCACTACTAATTTATGAAGAGGTGAGCATGTCATATTCAAAATTCAAGGTTAATTTAATATGACATGTTTACGAACTTTATCAAAAAAGTTAAAATGCGCCCACTTAATTTGTGAAATAGCCAGTCGACAAGTCCTTGTCAGATTGCTAAAATCACTACGAAGAACTAAATTTAAAAACTAAATGTTAAGCTCTTCCTCGATTTGAAAACATTGGCGCGTGACTTCACATCTTTCTATAAATAAATATGTGACACTGTGATTAAAATAGCTCAAACCTACGGTAGCAAACCTCATGGAGATCAATAGGTGGTTCGAGTAGCTACTTGTGCTACTTGTAGTGTCACCGAATTTGCCCCTAAGGCATTAAAACAGCCCACAATTGAACATGTTATTACCAGCGGGCGGAAACGCAATGTCTCCTTCAAGGTTGTTTCACTTTCCTAGGTAGTCAATGCAACTAGAAAGGCATGAAATTAGAGGAAGAAGAAAGTTTATTTTTTATTGGGTGTTTGAAGATTCAAACCCAACTCTTTTCCCATTACTGTCGAGGTGCCGCCTTGCAATGCACACAGATGACGAATGAAGCTTGAATGTTGCTTAGGCAGGGGGACATTTCATGCTGCCTAATTATCCCTCTACCCCTCTTTGTCTGGGAGAAAGCAATTGTCATAAATGTAACACGTGTAAGCAATACGATTTGGCTGGGCCAACTTGTTACTCTTGATGCCGCAACCTACTAAATATTAACTATCCATCACCGCTAAGCTGGACTTCATGGACTGCGCAAAGCTAATGAGATTTGAAATTTATGTTCCGTAGACTGCCCTTATTTGTACTCTAATTTGAGCAGTTTTAGCATAAATTGAAAAGTAGCCTGCTTTGAAATGCCGATTTTAACTTGAAGTTCCTTAAAACTCACCTGACAACCTTTCACTTCTGCGGTATTCTGCTTAACTGAAAACGAATTTTAAACAAAGCTTATATTCTTTGAAGTGGATTGTATTATTTTACTTCCATTAAATGATTGCTCTTTATAGCTGTCCGTAACAGGCACTTTACGGATTAGTTTCGTACCATTGTTTGCACCCCTTTTAAACAAAATAATCAGCGCAATTATTAGACCAATTTGCGCCCACAAAGGGATTTTAAAGCAGGAGTTTTTTTGGCACAAAGTCTCATTTGCCTTTGTTTTCCTTGCGAGAAGTACAATGCTTTGTTTACTTTTTATGCTGGTAAATTGGGGAGTGAAAATCTTAATATAAAGATAGGTAAGCAGTTCTATTTGATTTGCAGCTGCACTACATAAAAGTGAGCAGCTGGTTCGCTATAATTCCGATGGTGCTCAACTTTATTGGGATCGTGGCCACAGTGGGAGTGATAGTGACTCTGGCACTGTATTCGGAGACGCCGATAGTGCGGGCAACGGGTCGGGAGTTGACCTATCTTCTACTCTCGGGTTGCCTGCTCTGCTACCTCTCCTCCCTCATTCTCCTCGTGCCGCCGAATCCTGCGGCCTGCGCCATCCAACGAGTGGGCATTGGGTTGGGCTTTGCTATTATGTACGCCTCCCTGTTAACCAAGACGAATCGCCTGGCGCGTATTTTCGACGCCGCAAAACGCACTACCAAACGTCCCGCTTTCATCTCCCCCCGCTCCCAACTGGCCATCGCGGGCGGTCTCGTGGGTCTCCAATTCGCGCTTTCCGTAATCTGGCTCGGCTTTGACCCTCCGTCAACTCGCGTCGATCCCCTCCAACCCAACTTCCTGGTGCTGCGCTGCGCAATCAAAGATAGCAGCATGGTTACCTCTCTTGCCTACATTATGCTCCTCATTGTCGTCTGCACCATTTATGCCGTGAAGACTCGCTCCATTCCTGAGAACTTTAACGAGTCACGATTCATCGGTTTCACCATGTACACCACCTGCATCATCTGGCTGGCCTTTGTGCCCATCTACTTCGCCACCATGAATAGCTTTGAAGTAAGCCTCTACTCAATCCACCATTTTACCAGCAAGCAAATAAGGTGCCGTATAAATAGGTACACTTATTAGTTTCGGCAAATAAAATATCTTTGACAGATAAATTCAGAAACCACCCAATCCCATCCCGACCTATCTGTAAACTTTTGGTGATACTGATGTGATCGTTTGGCTAAACATCCAACAGCTGCTCCCTACTCCGTCAAATTAGTCAGTTATCTTTCCTCCTGGAAACCAATGTTTCCCCTCCGCCGAAAAGTCTAGTCGCTCATGTTCCGCAGGTTACACCGATAAGCCCACTTTGTAAAAATACTCATTTACAAAAATCAAACCAATCCCGCATTTTTTAATGCTTTGCAAAGTGGTAGCATTTTTAGCGTAATTTTAACACATTATAGGTTTTTGCCAACCCCCCAAATGTCTTAATTACAAAACTATTTCCCGTTCCGTCGCGCATATTAATGAATTATGAGTGAGGGAAATGGGATGATTTACTGGGGCGACCGCCAAGAAAGTTGCGATCTGATTTAATTCAATTTGGTATGCCATTAGGGATGGTTTTAGTGCAGGCGGAAGGAGTGATAGGGAGGAAAGATAAAACCGTTTTATTTAATCCAATTAGTCCTTCGGTTTAAAAGCCCTTTTTAAAGCATTGACACACGTTAGAAAATTTGGGAGGAATTTTGGTAAAAGGGCTACGTTGAATGCGCTCTTCATCACTAATTTGGTCAAGAATAAGTGCTAATTTAAGCATTTACTAAATCTGGATTTCAAATTTCGCATAATGGAGTCCAGCGATTTGTGCTACATTGTTTTTTTTTCTGGATTCCACACTTTTCAGTAGTTACTGCAGACCTCCCAATCTTACTCTGTTTCCACTTTCTCGCCTCAGATTCAAATATCAACGCTCTCAGTCGCGGTGAGCTTAAGCGCGACAGTTACCCTAGTCTGCCTATTTGCACCCAAGGTCTACATCATTTACTTCCATCCAGAAAAGAATATCCGGAAACTCACCATGAATAGTGGCCCGGGAAGCAAAACCCGTTACGGTTGGTCCTCTGCCTGTTAATTTATCTAAAATAACTACCCCCAAGTATAGACCGTATTACTTAGTCGTTATTGGTGTGTTATGTTTTTGTTTTAACTAAGGACGAAAAAAGCTTTAACCATCTGTTATTGTGTAAAACTAGGCTAGTTAATGACATCATATAAATAATATATGAACTTTCTGGTTTGGGTGTTAAATCCAACACAATAGTGGTGTTTGTTTTTCTGAATTTAAGCTATGTGATCGCAGATAGTTAGACGAAAGCGTGTGCGACTTGTAAATACAAAAAGTTGTCTTTCAAGCACTTCGGCAGAACAACTCAGGTTCGATATGTTCTTTTGGATACTTTCAGTCATGGAATAACTTCTTATTTCGCAAGTTTAATTCGCATTGGACTGAAAGTAAATTGGAATAGTACAGAATGAGGCCTCATTCCCTCTTCCGGTAAATTAGAATTGCCGACTTTCATTCTCAGAGGTTTTATCATAACCGTTTGGCTAAAATATATAGTGGTGATTTCTTTCACTTCTTGAAGGTCTAAGTCAGTATGCAGTATGTGGGCGTTCTGGCAATGAAACCACCATAGAGCTCTACGAAGAGCCTTGTCACCACGGCGAAAATTCTGCTACATCATTATCTAGATTCATAGCTGGGTTTGAACATCATCTATGAGCCCTGCAATAACATTTTATTTAGTAGTTTTTGTCCCTTTCAATTATATTTATTCAATATTTCCTTCGATTTTTGGACTTATACGTATTCATTGACTGTGTACTTTATTCCCTTTCTTTCAACCAGAACCGACATGTACGTTTGTATTTACCGTTTTACGTAGTACACACCAGAATGTATGCATGCTTCATGTACTTTCCTATCTGAATGCGCCTTCGTTTTAACCTATATAGACTACGGACATTTGAATATGTGGCAGTTTCGTAGGTTGTTGTAGCTGGTGATCGCCTACTACTGTCAAACTTATGCACCTCTAAAAATAGACATGGAAATGAAGTCAGAAGGTGGATAAGTTTAACTGTGAATGTTTCTTCCCTTCCCCTTTGCCGATTCTCGCTGACAGCTACCTGCAAATCTCCACCAGAGAGCTATGGTAGGCAGAGCTCTAGCATGGGAACGGACTGTGTGATCACCAACACAATGGCCACGCAGTCCACGCAACCCTCCAGTACTTTGAAGGTCGTTTCGAAGACCCAGGGTTCTCCCAGTAGCCGTGGTAGGTTCGTTTCTTTTGTGGCTCATGACATGACGCGTCCTTCACGTCTCTTTTGTTCGTGGTGCATGATGCCCCTCAACCAAGCATAAGTGGAATGCGTATGGATCAGCTGGAGTAGTCACACTTTTCCTTGGTCAAATAATTGTTACAAATGCAGATCTGTCTGGGTTATGTGTGAGCATGTGGATTTCCAACGTTAAATGCCTTTACAAGTGTAATAAGTTTTGTATTTTATGTATTTTAATTCAAGGATGCATCTAAAGCTTCCCCTATATGCAGGGACTTTTGACATTTTTCATGCTAGCCGAAAGTATCTGCGTTGCTTGCCATTCGACAGTAATGCTCCAAACGTCTGCAAGCTTCTCACTGTCTAAATATTTTTCAAAGCTCTGATTTATCCTCGGAAACCTTAACTTTACAACCAAGCCACCTCAATTATGATGCGAAGTCCAGCAAACAGTTGACTTCTAGTTTATTAATGGTAAAGTTAAAACACGGAGATGATGCTTATACTCTGACGGTACTATGACAATTACTTTCCCTATTTATTCAAAATTCTTTAACGTACAGCTTTTCTCGTGCATCTTAAAAGACACAAGAATTGTGTCATATTTTAGCTTTAATTAAGGAGCGGGCTTTGCATTACCCAGGTCTCAAACCGTCAGTGTTTACCGAACTTTGATAAAATTTTTGCTATCAATATAGTCCAGTGCACCTTTAGTTTAATTTTTACTGCATCATTCCAAACGCAAATCAAAAAAGTCCCATAGCCAATCATATTACACAGGACAGCAATAAATATCCACTTTGTTTTCATTTTTCACATGTTATTGTCATGCCTGAATTAAATCCCCCTTTATGCTTTTCCTCTATTTCTGAAGCCGATGGTTTGGAGGAAGTTCCGAAACGACCCCTGCTGAGTGTGACAAAGGAGACTACAACCGTGAACGCTTTAATTCCACGGCGCTACTCCAACGACTTTTCAGAGCCGATAGTCGTAACCAAATCGGTCACCAGATTGCAGCCAGTCTCCACAATTTCCACCGACGGCGACAACCCAATAGGAGGTAGTAGACTCCCCGCCTACCAGGCAATTGTCTCACCGATGCCTCTCCTGCTGGACAATCTGGCTGTGAGCATTGCCTCGGTGCCCGCTTGCCCCTGTGAAGAGGAGGAGGAAAGCAGAGAGGGGGAGGAGCGAAGCGCAGAAGCGACTAACACCTCCGCCTCCTCCATCGTTGCCTGCGGCAATGAGCGCTGCTACTCTGGTCGACCTACTTCCAGCGAACCCTCCATCAACGCACCCGACTGCAAAGACGACGACGCAGACTCCATTAACCCCTATGTCTACCACAATCGAGCCTTGCAGGTCACTGTCACTTCCGTTACTAATACCGTTCAGAGTGGGCGGTTTGCCACCGAAACAGACTCGATCGTTGAGCTGTGGCAACAGGTAAAACCGCAAGGCATGGGTGGAGTTCGTCACTGCACTGTGGTTGAACAGAACATGTGTTTTGCGAATGCCACAGGTTTTCCCTACGGCGTTATTCCACCAAATATGGGACTGGATGAGGAAAAAATAAGCTCCGTATAGGAATCTTTAGAATATGTTAAATTTCGCCCTACAATTCGTTTCCCTTTTCCCTTCTTGAAGCTCCTTTAGATGGTGATAAAAACGAGGGACTAAACGCTTCATTCCACTATGCTCAATTGTTTCATTTGAACATGTATGTACCCATTTTGCAGAGAAAGAGAAAGTTGTATTCTGGTTCCCGTATTGTTTTACATACTTCCAAATACATTCTTATCCCCAAGATGTACAGTAATGCAGTTTTTATCATGCACAACATTAGTGCCAACCACACTTGTTGAGCGGAATGCATCAAATCATTCGCGTGCGGAAGACCGGGTCGGGACATAAAATTAACAATGCTTCACATTAAGGATGGTGATTTTATGATAAGCAAATCCCCTACCCCAAATTAAATCAACTTTCACTGAAGTCAAAATGGGAACTTCAGCAATGCTTGTGTTTAGGTGTTGTAGGGGTTTTAATGTGTTGGTAAAAGGTGAATTTAAGTAATCCACCCTCCGTGGCTATAAGTGAGCGAATAAAGCCGGGTGGATATTAAAAGGGCAAAGCAGCAAAAAAATCCTTTTCGAATATACTTCACCTTCCCTGAGTACTAGCTGCCAAAGCCACAACCTACCCATCCTAGTAGCTCTTACGTGGATCTGTTGAAGGTCACGACCTCATAATTGCGCAGTTTGACTAAACAATGATTTCTATAAATTAGCCAGACGACTCAACAGGATAACTTGCAATAACTTGGTAGGCTAAATGAGAAAGGGCATTTAATTATGCAGGACGAACCGAATACGCTAACAATTTTAATGTCACTTGAACTTCGTTAAGAACAAGGGCAATGTTTACAATCCAAGGTTAATCCACCGTTAAATAAGCGAGTGCTATTAAACCATTCATCCTTCAGTCAAATGCAACTTTTCCTTGACACTGATCGAAAAAAGGCGTTTTCTTCTACGTATAAATTGCTCTAACTTATATGTTTGTTTGTGCGAGAGGTGCAGCTTGTGGTCATTGAAAATGAAAGGTGAAGTTAGACTAAAGGATATGGAAGAAGTTATCGTCTTATAAAGGGCCTCTAACTGATTTTTTCAAATTTCAAAGAAAAAATATTGTTTCTAGGCATAAATCTTCACCGCCTAGTAATCATGTAGGGAAACATATCTTCGCCGAATTCGTAATGGAGCATGGTAGCAGGGGAAAATATGCTAATAAAGTAAAGAAGAACTGAGAGGATACCAGTATGACTCAAAAGCCATGCCGGAGAGCAGAATTGCAACAAGCGGAAACTCAGTTGTCTGCGTAAGAGAACAGTTAAACAAGATATCGAATTACTACATAATCCTACTCTACTTTTAAACCTCGTTTCTGATGCTCCTCTTAACCAACCTCCCTCTCCGAAAATCACAACGGAATTAGTACTTTAAATACCACCAGCTAACCAAGCGTGCCAGCCTTTAAATATTCTTACCTTTGAGATGGCATTTTACCCCTCAATTTACTTACCCATCGGGAGGATTCCACTGAATCCGACCGGATAGGCGGACAGGAAGGTTTTTGGATAAAGGGAACATTTTGCATGTCACTCTGTGGTTAGTGAAAAAATGGTCTAAAACGAAAGTCATTAGGTAAAAATAACACCAAAATAGTCTTATGGAGCTAATGTTGCATATCTACTCCTTCCTGCCACTTTGCTCTCATTACAGTGCTGTCCACCCATCCATATGAGTTCCCATCAGCTAGTGGAGAAGTGCAAGAGGTACCACTTTTCCATGTAATTAACATTGCGCCTAGGAGCCATGGACAGGTTCATAATGGACCTTTCCAAATGACTGGAGCCTAATGTCTCCGGTTGTTAATAGCATTCTTGGAGAGCACAGAATTGGGATAACCGTCAACGGTAGGCGTAATTTCTAGCTTTCTGTTTAGGTTCTTCACAGATTCATCCATCTGCCTCAGATTCTCATCTTCTATGATGCCAAGTCCTAGTATTCAGGTGTCGAAATCATAACAACCGTTCTTTTGGACAGAGTTTGCTCGTCGTTTAAATCTACACTGAAGGTGTAGTAAGCCAAAACCGTAGAGGAAACACATAAATGACACGCAGGACTGAGATCGTATTGGCATGGGCTGAAAGCCATGCAAGGAAGAGAGGAAGCATAAACCTCGAGAACTCAAATACTCTCGTATTCAAGCCCAATGCAAAACAAAATTACCAAATTACTTCGTTTGATGGCCTAGTGTTCATATTGTTGCGGAATAGTGCTAGATTTCATCGGTCAGGTCATCAATAATAAAATCGTATCTTCAGATGAACGTACACTCAATTTCTACTAGAACTTCAAGAGGCAATAGGTTCCACCTCTTTGTAATTTAGCGCAGTGCTGATATTACTGCAGTTGGAGAATAGGCTGCCTATAAAAGAGATTTATTCACAATTTTCAAGTAATCAAAAAAGAGATTTGAATGCGCCCTTTGCAGAGATGCGAAATGCCAAATGAATATGGGAAGATGTGTCATTAAAGTGATACTGACCGAAAGGCAATGAAGACAGAAAAAAAATAAATACGCGAAGAGTGAAGAGCCCGTATGGAGAAAAGGCAAATCAATGTAATCACAGTACAGTTGCACATATATTTCAACTGGGCACAACTTCAGAACTTCTACGTCAACTTTAGCTGGCTGCCGGTTCAGCAGGACAGTTAAACATGTAATTAGTTAAATATGACTAACTTAATCAACATAATCAAATATTCGTTTGACAAGCAAAGGCGACTTATTTTGCTACCAAAACTAGAATCCTATTGTTCTTTCCATTATAACAAATTACAAATTGCCAAATTTGATTTAAAGGTGTTCAAAGGTAACTTAGGGGATCACATTTGCCATATATTTGATTCAGATATAAATGCATTTGAAAAGGCATACTATACTACAGTGTTACATGTAGTTATAAACGTAAACCAGCGCTAATACACCATAACAAAATATGACTTTTATATGCATTGTGTTTTGTTGTGTTTTAAGATCAAGATTGGGAAACGCATATCTTGGCAGCGTTTTGTTTAATTTAGTTAATTGGAGGGCGTTATTTTGGTCGCGGTTGCGTTCGCCTTTCCGCTCGCCGCGGGGATGAGTCAGGCCCTCCAAAAGTATGAAAAGTTGGAGAAAATAGGAGAAGGTACTGGAGGAATTTTCATATTCACATTTATAAGGGACTTACGGAAAGGTTTACAAGGCGAGAAATCGGGAGACCCATGAGGTCGTCGCATTAAAACGAGTACGTCTGGAAGATGACGACGAAGGTATCCCCAGCTCGGCCTTCAGAGAGATATGTCTCTTGAAGGAACTCAAGCATAGGAACATTGTAAGGTAGCTGTGGAGTATTTGCCTTCCACTTGTGATTTCGCTCAATCTTATACGCTGATCCATGTCTTATCTCACTCAGGTTGTATGACGTACTGATAAGTGAGTCCAGACTTACAATAGTATTTGAGCATTGTGATCAAGATCTCAAAAAGTATTTTGATGCCTGCAATGGTGAGATCGATCCGGCTACGGTTAAAGTAAGTCACATGTTCATGTGCTGTAATTATTTTACCTTGGTTCTCCCTTTTTCAATGTGTTTGTTTCGTTAATTTTTCTTGGTGTAGAAAAACACAGCTTCATTGCTTTTATTAGCTATTTATGTACCAACTACTCCGTGGACTCCAATTCTGCCACGCCAATCATGTACTCCACCGTGACCTGAAACCGCAGAACCTGCTCATCAACTCGAACGGAGAGTTGAAGTTGGCTGATTTTGGTTTGGCAAGGGCATACGGGATTCCAGTTCGGCAATACTCCGCAGAAGTAAGTGTTTCAATGGATTAAGATTGTTCAGCTGACTTTTTTGTCCTTGCTTTGTGAAAAGCATAATTCTGATGTTTTTTTCTCTTATCCTTCATGTGCTCTAGGTGGTAACGCTGTGGTATCGACCACCTGACGTGCTCTTTGGTGCCAAAATTTACACCACCTCCATTGATATGTGGTCAGCGGGCTGCATCTTTGCCGAGCTTTCCAACGCTGGCAGGCCAATGTTCCCCGGCTTCGATGTAGATGACCAACTCCGTCGGATTTTTAAGTGAGGTTTTTACTGCTTTCTTCAACCTTACTACCATATAACCCCTAATGTCATTGCCTACTACTAATTTTTGTTATTTGGCCGTATGGGCTTCCCCTCTCCTCTACATCTTATGTAATAGAACCTTCTTCATTGCAAAGCTTTCGTATTTTCTTTCTTGACTTGTACCTTATTGGCTCTACACCAATCCGCGTACAAACAATGCCGGGTTCGCATTTCTTCGAAATTGACTTTAAATTGCATAAAAGCGTGCTATATTTTTTCGCCTGCTGCATATTTTTCTGCTTACAGACCCTGTTTTCGCGTTCGCGAATATTGTTGAAATTCAGTCAACTAAACTTGAAGGAATCATTTACGTTGTTCCTAAGTGCTTGATTTTTTGTGCAAATCCCGTTAAGAGGTAGCTATTATACTTTGTACTCCATAGATTTGAGGTTTGCGTGTACTTAGTGTTTTTTTATGCCGCAACAGGTGAAACACTACATATTATTTGACACTGATCTCCTACTTCTTTGTAACTTACGTATTTTCTTTGCTGTCTAGACAGCTGTTAAAAGTCTCGAAGGCTAAGTCAAATTGAAATTTACTTTTAGATTGCTTGGTACTCCGACTGAGTCAACCTGGCCAGGTGTAACCGAACTTCCAGAGTACAAGGTATGATTTATCATTAAAAAAAAGTTTTCTACCTGTGAAAATAAAACTGAATTTATAAGCCATGACAAGCTGCGTCCCTTTTTTTGACGGTTCATTTTCTACTCTAGACATTTACCATCTACCCAAAAAATACCCATTGGCAACAGGTAGTTCCTAATCTCTCAGCTCGTGGCCGTGATCTGCTACAGGTATTCGCTTTCTTTAATTTATTGCATCAGTACGTCCTTAAGTTTGTTTGAAACGTTGTGGTTAAATTCTCTTTTGCATTTGTCTTGCACCTTTAACAGATTTGTGGAAGCTAGTAATAATACTAAATGGTGTTGGTCGACTACTGCGTCTTTGACCTTATTCCCTTGAAATCCTTTGAACTGCACTACTACTGAGTGTTTCATCCTGGTAGCATTTTCACTAAATTGGTTGCATTGTTTGTACATAGTAGACGTCTCTTTGGTAGCATTTGCTGGACTAAATAGGATGGTTGCTTATACTTTACTACCTGGTCATTTGTAAATATAATATTAATAATATTTCGGGTAGTCATGTGTGCATATTATTTATGCTATAACTGTATTTAAGATATCCAAATGCTTGTGTGTGCTTGTGTCTTGTCTGCTGGCTCGTCGACGAAGTTGAATACGTTATATAGGTGTCATAAAATTGACTTTTGAGAAAGTGCTGTGAAAGCCTTCGGCCTTGATTTGACATACCTTAAAATTGGTAAAGCTCACTAAGGTCATTGATGGAGAGCACATTGCTTATCAAATGCCAATAAACCAAGCCTACTGCGGTGCGTTGGAGATTGTCTATATTTTGCTTGAGGTCATATTTTTAAGATTAACGTTACTTTTTAATTTTATTACGAATGGCGTTCCATGGTCTACTAATTTGCTTTTTTTCTTTGACGCAGCAATTGCTTGTGTGCAATCCTTCAGAACGGGCCAGCGCAGATCAGGCTCTGGACCATCCTTACTTCGACACCGTAGCCCACTAGCCCCTTCATTTGCTCCCTTTCTCTTCCCTCTTCCGCCCTGTGATCCGTGTCGTCTGTGCATTTCATTCCCCATCACCGTCACCAACCTGCATTTCGACACTGCTTCCCCCTCTCAATCTTTTCTTTCATTCATGTTCATATGTATATACAATAGGTGATTTGCGAATAAATGCCCGTCCAACGCGTGACAATAAAAAATAGACTTTGTCTTCAGGAACAGTCCACGAGCTCCTCTTTTCGCTGCGTGAGTTCAGTACCTGCGACGACATTGTCTTCACCCACATCCACGTTGTAAGCAGTGTGTGGCTGTTATTTGTGCCGGTGATATTTTTTAGCTTTGCTTCCTGTGCTTAATGGAATATCTGGGCGTAGATTGTACGGCTTGTTGATAATAAAACAGCCTTAAAGTGAGGGTCGATTTCGGCACGAGGGCTGTAATTGTTAAGGTAGATGTAGCCAGCGGGCATTTGCACAAGTTGATTGTTTACATGGATCAGAACATGGTTTACGCCTTCGTTCAGGAAGAGAGAGGATGCGGGAAGTTCAAAACGGGCTAATAACCGCTTTTATGGAGTCATGCAACCGCATGCTAAGAGAATGGGAGGAGGAATTGACAAGTGTCGGGTGCGGGACAGCCTAGTGGGTGCTGCGGATGGAGAGAGTGCCTGATGAGGCGGAGCTGGGTGTGCGCATCGATCCAGTCGTTAACTTGACTCTTCCCTCGCCTTGGACTCGAGTCGTCTTTTCTGCTGGCAGTCGTGGAACATCGAACATGTCGCGTGCACTCAACTCCACGACGCTTGCCACTGCCAGGTTGCCAGATCCTGGTCCTTTTAGAAAACAAAAACATTCTACTTATAAATCCGTCAGTAGACTATGATGTGTGGGACGGAATTAGCGTTGCTCACTCGATGCGTTTACGTTGATGTTTCGATTAAAGAATCTGTCGGAGGCCTTGATATTGTCAATGCTGCCTACAAGAATTGGCGTGGTGAGTTGAAAACTCTTGGAGAGTTCTTGCGCCCTAGTTAGGATTTCGTCGTTGATGAAAGGTGAGGCTTTGATGCTCCGTACGAGCAGGATATTAACGGATTCGTTGAAGTCACTGAGGAGTTGAACCTGACGATGCAAAGCTAACCCAGTCATTTCGTTAATGATTCTCTCTAGAGCAGTTGCATTTATGGGTTTTCATGAGTAAGCCATAGTTATCACAGCCCACATAATGAATTGGTGATAAAATCATTTTCATACTGTAAAATAAACAAAAGACATCTGACTTATTTGCTAAATCTTTCATTTGGAATCCCTCAATTTTCCACCATTGACTAAAATTATTAAAAAAAACTAAATCAAGCTCAGAATAATCTGCTGATGTTTCTATTTTCGCAACATTTTTGGGAGTTGGTTTTTATTGGTTATCAAGACTTTAAGGGTTATCAGTCGATGTAACACAAGGTGCTTTTAATACCTGAATGTTGAAATTTAAATTCCTTCAGTGATTGGATTAGGATACTTAAATTTACTGACATCCAGATACCCCCACTATTTGCGTGTTGCGACGTTATTTTTGTCAATACATTTTACTAGCCTTTTTACATTCTGGTATACAATTCATTCCGTGCAAAATCATGACGAGCAAGAAACCTTCCCGTAGTAAATACATGGTATCGCAATGTGTTAAAAAAGTGCTCAAAAAGCAGAAGTAGGTATCTTGAATTCTATAGCGAGTCACAAGCTCCTTTACTAGTTTGGTATTTTAGTTACGTCTACCTCTTCCACAGGCGATCGCAACATTTTGGGCCAAACAGGTGTTTACCTCAATGTCCAAGTCAACGGGTTGTTTTACGCGCGTTGCCTTTGTCTTAGCAAGTGTCCGTACCTTCAGCGCTCTTTCCAACTTGGCGTCAAGCTCAGCGTTTTTATTCCTAATTCGAAAGACATCTGCCTCGTACGACGCCACCATCTTCTCAAGCTGGGCAATCTCCTCCTCCAGTGAGCTTATCTCCACTGTAAACCGCTGCGGAAAATATAAGTTTCACTTCATTTTTTTGTAATCATGGAAGAATTTCAAAACCACTTATTCATTTCGATGGACATTCACATTACTGAGAGACAAAAAGGCCATGCACTGATTTTGTCAGTGATTTTACTAAAGCTGGCAGCTTACTAGAACGGATGCGCGAAGGATTCGCCGTTTTTCGCGGGAGTTTTTTAGTTTGTTTGTTGCTTTTTCCAGCTTCTCCGTTAGGATATCCCTGCTTTTCAGTAAACCTTGATCAATTGTCTACAATGGAACAGTTGAAACGATTTAGTACTATCATATTTATTTTTGATAAGTGGTTGCTTTAATTCAAAAGGGTAATTAAATGATTGGTTAGCTCCAAATTCAACATCAAGTAAAGTCGGTGAAGCTTTGACTTGATTGAGTCCTTCCCTTACCTACCTCAGGCGATATTTAAATGCCCCCTACAATGGGAATTAATCGGTGAAGTTGAGTCAATTGGTCTGTTAAACTTTGTTTTCTTTACAAAAAGATCGCCAACCTTAAAACAGTTTCCAACCTGATTGCTTGCCTTCCAAGTGCATCTCTGGTATAGTAATTGTTTAATCACTGACACACGAATTGTTGCTTTCTTTTTGCTCAAAATTTTAGTAAGTCACTGTAAAGTGCGTTTGATATAGTAATCCGAGATAATACCAAAGCAAATACTGGAGGAATAAGAGTAGGCTGTGATACTTCTCACACCTTCTTTAGTTTTTTTTTGCCTCGGCCAAATCGAGTGGAATGAAGCGTTTGGGATTTTTTCTAAAGTTACAGTATTTCCTCCTTTACATCTCAAGAATTGTCACATTGAAAAAAAAAATGTTCCTCACAAATCTCTCCTTGTCCAGCTAAGTGATATCAGCAACAATTTCGGTGACACAGCCAGGATCTTCGGATATCACCAGAATCTCTAGATTGAGGTGCGTGGTCCAGGTTAGTGTGTTACACCATACTTGCCGAGTCAATTTTCTACACTTTTACATTTTAAGATATTAGCGTCTCAGTGTTGCTAACATATGGCAAAGGACTTACGGTCCCACTGTAGCTGCGTGCAGATTCGTTCAGAGAGGTCATGACAAGAACGGTGTTCTCCAATGCCCTCAGCTCTTCTTCCGCTCTCTTGACGTCTTTGTCCAACTCATCACCCCTTGTCTGCAGTTCTTCATGCTCTTCAAGTGACTGGGGAAATCAAATACATGACGACTTTTTACATCAATCTCTGTTAATGTCCAGTTTCTTTGGATACTTTCATTAGCGGCAACAAAAATTAGGAAAGTCAATTTCATTTACAATGATAATGAACTAGTTGTTTAGCTTGTTATGCAATAAGTTTTCCAGTATGGTACATTACATTTAACAAGCGGGGTTTCCAAAAGCGATTTAACTCTTACCCTGGCAATTATATTTGTTTGGGTTTTGTCGATATCCCCATCCGCTGAAATCATCGAAGCCTCGACATCATATCTAAAAACGACAAAGAAGTCTAAAAGTTGTTCAATGGAACTGTGATGGAGCCCAACAGCTCAACATACTTAACACATGAATAAAGGCCGAAGGTCTAGAAGTATAGTGGCTACTAATTTACGTAGTGCCGTGATTAAATTCGGTAGCATCCCACTGTAAAGCCTACTTATTTACCTAATATCTCACTTTAATACCAATTCACCTTGATAACCTTGTTGACAACGCCACTTTTAAAAATCTGTGCTGGTTTTACAGCGTAGAAGACATGCCCTGAAGCGGTGAGTAGAGGCGACCCACCTAGATTTCAGTTGTTCAAGTCTGCACTTTCGCTTGGCAAGGTCGGCCTTGACACGATTAGCGTCCTGGCCCGCCATGCGCATCTCCATCTCCACACGGTAAGTGCGTGCCGCGGCCTCCTCCTCCAACTCACGTGTCAGCGCGGCAATCGCCTTCGCTCGCATCTCGCCGTTCAGAGTCGTCTCCTCCATCAGTCGGTGGCGCTCCCCCGCCCGTCGCAACTGTCAAGGATGCCAGTATCATGCAAATTGACTCTCCCACCGAAAGTCGTTACTCATTAGGTATTTCTATTACTACTTTATTGTTGCAAAGCCGATTGACAACTTCAGCATTCAACTACTGCTAAACGAGATAAATTAGTAGCATTCTCTTTCCAGATATCGTTGAACATGTGAATTCGCAAGATTTTTGCTGTTTGTAACTAAATGATAGAACTCTCATTAGGATACCTCTGTCAGCTCCTCTAAACAAAGGCTATTGGGCAAGTTGACTTCATTTAAAATTTCGGTGGATAGACTACCACTTCACCGGTAATTCAGCACTGTATAAAGTTATGCTTTTATCGCTGATAGAGTATTCGCCTACTAACTGTCCTTATCACTACTTCAGATAATATTTTCATATTGCTAGACTGCTCACTTTACAGAATAAGTTTGGGAAAATTATGTCATCGTGCTGATCATTCGATCAGCTATACCTCCAAATGATCTTTTCACTGATGCATTTTCTCCCCTCTTTCAAACTTGATTATCCTTTATGGACTTTAAGTTTATTTGGTTAGACATTATGATAACTACAAAGAAAAGTTTTTTTAGGTTACTTCGGGTTGAAGTAGTAGGATAACATTGATAATAATAGACCCATTGTCTATTTGGCAAAAGCTAGCTATTTCACTACATTAAAAACTTGGTTGGATCTACTGTAGGTGTAATTTTGATAAAGCATTAAGTTTTAGAGGTAGATAGAAACTGTGAAGTAAAAATACGATTGGTCTCTCCTCATTGGGATGGCCAAAAAGCAACAAACTGCGACTACTTAAATTGAAGAGTCTTCTCCTAGCTTTCATTATTAGTGGTAATTACCTATATATTAAATATTGTAATAAGTAAACTTAGTTGTGTTCTTCTTAAAGAACTCTAATCCTATCTGTAGGGGGATTTCAGAACAGAAAGATCAATCGAAGCATACACACTCCTTTTAAATGTTTGTATATAAGTGAAGCTGCCAACCTGATAACGACAGAGATTATAGAAGACAAGAAGTTCGTTGCGACTCCGAATAGTCCCGTCAAGACTTCTGCCTGCGTTTTCAAGGTAGACCTTTACCCCATCCATCTGGTAAGTCCCCCTTCGAAGGTATTCCCTAACTTTATCCGACTGCAGTCCCAGTACTCGCTTCTCATTCTAAAAGTATATTCCATCCTTGAGAATTTATGTCAAAATGGGAATAGCTAGTTGTTAATATTTGTAATACACTTGTAATAGTTACTTGTTCCTTTTAGGTTTTTCTTAAATCAGTATAGTTTTCAAAGATGCAAATCTTAGTTACCGATTGTTAGTTCCAATTTTTTACGAATATGATGACCCACTATTATCACCAACTTTTCTCGCGGATGTAAATCCCGGAAGCAAGAAGATATGGTCGGTAACGAATGGTAATATGCCAATTTATTAGACGAATTTAAAAACAAGGCCGTTTAAACCAAATTGCTTAAACTTTAAATCCAATTCAAAGGGGTGGGAAATTCGAGCTTGTCTCTGGTAATTTGAAGGAAAAATACACAGTTGAAATTTAATCAAACAAGACAGTTGCTTTTGAACGGCACCGATTTAACTTAGATTAATTTGGCTAAAGTGGCCAATAAAGATGAGGGTGAACCGTGCATAGTAACCCTTCACTACAGTCGAACAGAAGAGGAATAAGGACTAGGCGGGGAAACATACCTTGAACTGTTGGATCATGGTGGAAAGGGTGTGCGCAGACTGGCACTGGCTGTCAAACTGTTCTTGCATGTGGTGGATCCGCCGCTCCAGTGCGATACCCTCCTCATCGCACACTGCGTTCGACTCCATTCGCGTGATCCGTCGCTCCATCAGATTGGCCGTCAGCATCGCCTTGTAAACTAGTTGTTCCAACCGCTTCAGCTCCTATACCCCGTCGACAATAATAAAACTGTCAACTCATTTCAACTTCATTCAGACAGGCGGGTTAGGTACGTAAGACGTCCAAGCAAATCGTATTTATATTCGCTCTGTATGTCCCAATAAAAAAAACCTAGCATAAATATCAAAGGCAATTAAACGGATTTTCATGCAGACTTATGACTAAAAGGTATCGTATAAGGAGGTTGAGTAATTTATTCAGTAAACTTCTTCCGAATTTTTGATTACTTTAATCTTGCAGTCACTTCATGCTTCCATTTTGTTTTAGCCGCCTGAAAACTACAAATTGGTATGTAAATGAACACCTTGTGCTATATTGTATGCTTATCCTGCCTCAGCAAAAAACAAAATTAATGCAAGGCTTGACTTGGCAAAGCAATACATGGTTAGCATTTCAGTTTAGTGTATGGGACGCAATTTTTTCGTCTGCTACTCCCCTGATCTTTTGAAAGCAATGGAGACCTACGCCAAATCCCTGTACTTCATTGAATCAAATAGTAGTTATACTGTTGCCTACCGCCTCGCTGCTTTGAAGTTCGCGATCAGCATGGCGAATTTTTGTGCGGCTTCCATTTATTAATGCCTCAACGGTCTTGTTATCATTTTCCGCCGTTTGCTTTTCCTACAAAACAACCGAAAACCAACGCCAAAACTTAATCGGATTATAGAACACCACAAAATCTCGCATCGCTCCCTATTCATACGTCATGTGTGTCTACTTTATCAGAAAAACATCTAATCTTTCAATAGGAGTTGTCCGCTTTTTTGTACCGAAGCAATTTTTACACCACTTTGTACCCAAAGTGCAGTTGCATGGTCCACTCATTTATGAGCGGACTTCCCCTGCTCAACCCAAAGCATTCTGGATGGCAATACCTGTGTCCACAAGTGTCATTACATATCGCCTTGTTATTACCTTTTATTAATAAAAGCACCAAATATCTTGTGTTTAATTGTAATTCACCCGTATCCTTCGAATGTGGCATTCACTGATAACTGGCGTTCTTGATATTTTTGTCTTTCTGCCAGTAGCCTACCTCTGAGATGATAAATCGGAGGTTCTTCAATTTCGTGAGATTCATTTTGATTGTGTTTTGACATTGAAGCTCGGTTTCCAACTCCTGTTCCACCATGCACAACAACTCCTCAGCTGAAACATTTTCCGACTTCAAATTCTCCAGCTTCCTCAGCGTGATCACTACAGCGCCCTCGGTTGTATGCAAACTAAAAGACGCATTGGAGGCATATTTGTATCATAAAGCGAGCAGACTATCTTTCCTATGTTCGAAAACTAATGCTAGAATAAGGGAAAGGAACCACGAAAAATAGGTGAATATACGTAATCATTACTAATTTGTTCAGTAATAACAAAATGCTATTTTATCTATTCCTATTAAAGGGAAGATGCTCAAAAAATTGACTGCTGGGGCCGCATACTAAGTATTTTCAACGAAATCACATCTAAATTTATCACTTTATCACGCCAGAGATAACCCTAAAATAGTGTCAAGACACCAGCTAGCGTGGGCCTTACATGCAATGAAACCGATCTCTGGACTTGAAATTTCCAAGGGGAAGGAAATTTCGGTTGGGCATTAACATTATCTGAGTACTTTTTTCAACATTATAAGAGGAATTTTTTTGGTTGTCTATACCAGTCAAAACAAATTAAAGTTTTTTACAACGTGACACTGAAGGTCTGGTCATCAGTACATCGGAAACATTGAACGGGAAAGTGGAAGCATCTTTTAGGTAAAGGTCCCAAAACCAGGATCCAGTGAAAGTAAACAACCGTGGGCATGTCAATGCAAAAAGCACTCAATTAACTGACTTAAGTACATACTTTTCTGACAACTTTTTATTTGATTCCTTGTAGTGAGTGTTAGCAGCCCGTATCTGCTGCAATTCTTTTCCCACCTTCGAGACTAACTTTTTAAGCGTGAAAAGCTAAAAGAAAAGACAGCGATGCAAGAGTTTTAATCTTCTGTCAAAAGTCCTGACTGTAGCACTTGAATTTCTGCTCACCTCATTTTCAGTGGCAGATGAGTCAGTTGACTCCTGCATGGTCGATTGTCGGATATTGCTGACCTCCTTGGTTAGTAGTGAGAATCTGTGCTTCGCATCTTTGATGTCCTGACCAATGCTCCCCATCAGCTTCTGCAGAGCGTGCATTTTCGTCTGCCTCTCGTTGATATCTGAGAGCAGTCCATCGTAGTCCTAAGGGCGATAGGGTATATTTACCGCCACAATTTTAGGTTTTGGATCCACGTACCACTTTATTACTACTTGATTGGTTCATCCCTCCTCTCTTCTTTTAAGGCTTTACAGGTGTTTTTCAATTGCTAAAGCAGATATTAGACAATTTCTCTAGTGTAAGGCTCATTTTACAATCGCTCCCGCACATATCACGTTTCACTGTGGTTCGCACAGGAACAACTGTTCCCTGATATTGCGCAGTCCAGGTGACAATCAGTTTCAGCCCTTCTCTCATCAATCCACTTTTCCATCTTAGTTATGTCCAACCCACTCACTCTGAATCACAAAACATAATTTTTATTCTACATGCATAAAAAATTATAAATACATCAAACCAGTGGATAGCCATTACCTAAGGTGGAGATATGTTGCATCTAGTAAATTAATACCTACAGAAATTGACATTTTATCCATGTTTATGCATGACTCCTCAAGATCTATCAGCCCAATCGGCAGCACAATAATTCTGCAAAGGCCATGTTAGTTGTGAATGTTTATTTCCACTAATAAATATTACTTGTGTTTAGTGTGCGGTTTTGACACTGGGGGAATTTATATGAATTGATTACTAGCTCACATTTCCAAGTTTAGTAAAGTCGGCATCTCGATCAGAGAGTTGTTTTACAGTCTTCTCCCATAGCTGGAGCATCTCCTGTCTGCCTCGGTTCTCCTCCCTACCCATTTCCGCCGTCGTGTCGATGCGCAATTGGATCACCTCGTTTTTGGACACGGCGGTGTCCAACTTCTTGAGCAGATCATTCCGCTTTGCGTTCAACTTGCTCTCCTCACTGGTGAGAAGCTATTTTTAGGAGGAAGAGGAAGTAGCACTCCCATTTTTACCTTGCCGCTCCCGCTATTTGTACACACCACATGGCCTCAATGATTCGCCCACCAGAAGTTACGACTCGTTTCCGCGAGGATTAGGTGATCATCCCCCTAACTGTACCTCACACCCAGCCTAAATCAGAGATTCTGGCAATAAGTGAAATCTGTTTCTCCTATGAGAACAACCACGAGAGCACCATTCAATGATTCACCTATTGGCGTATACACTTCAGCCTATTGTAATGCAGAAGTCATACCTAAAGACTGAAAACGAATGAATTCTAACTATTTTAAAGCGGGTACGTGATATACTTACTTGACTATTGTGGCATTTGCCAGTTAAGTGAGGCACTTAAGAGTATGAGATTGCGATTTGTTATATTTGCGAAAAAAAATAGTATCCTCACTCAAGTGTCAAAAATAAAGCATACATCAAACTCTTTCATTGATGGCACTTCAAACACAAACTTTAATATCTGCTTTAAGTTTAATATTTTCTCTGCACTTTTCATACATTACTTGGAAATCAACGTAACGAAACGGAGAACGTTAACTCTCTACCTGAATAAGAGTATTGTCTGTTTTGGAGATCGCTTGCAACCTCCCCTTCAGAGCATAGTCCATCTCGCAGTCGGTCATGAATTGCTCTACACGTTTCTGATCGCAATCCAACTCCGCCTTGATTGATGTCAACTCGTTGGATTTAAGGAATATTTCGTCCTAAAAGTGAAAAAATATTCTATGAAGGTAATCAGGCTATCAATGCTTAGAAGGAAGTCACCTTTTTTGGAGTTTAAAAGTACCCTAAAAAAGGTTAAAATAAAATACCAACGTTTCCAAATTGCTTCGACGACGAGAGAAAATGTGGGCCCACAGCAATTTTACCTTGCCAAGGGGATGTACTCTGCTATTTTAAATAGGCCACAAACTGCTAAGAAAGTGCACATTGATGTACTTTAGGCGTGTGCGCTGAAGACGCAAGGCGCGGCAGACGCGAATGCATTTGCTGCGTAGGCAGGCCTCGTCGGTTCGCCAAACAGACGTCAGACTGCCGTCCTTCCGACAAGCCACTGAGGCGGCTGCCATCATTATTAGTCTCACAGAGTGCAAGACCTATGGGAAACACTTTCCATTGACATCTATTATCCTTTTCCAACGAGACCCAAGCTAGCTGCAAATTTCGCTTTTATAAAATCCATCGCCTCTAGACGAGAAAAGTTCAGAGCGAGGATGGAGCCGCGTCTCCCTCTCATACTAAAGAATAAATTATGCAATATGGGGTTGGAGTTCTTGTTTTGTTTTCCTGAAGGAAAGTTGTTTGTGAGCACCGTCGTGTTGTATAGTATCAAGGAGACAGGTCTCAGCCGCAGTTGTGTGGTTCTTAGAGGGGTATTCAAAATGAAAAATTTCGTCTGCAGTTCACCGAATACAAAGCAAATGCGGTATTCGGAAGATTAATCAGCGCCTCAGAATGGATCGTTTTGGAATAGCCATCGATATGCTGGAATGTAAAAGCTACATCTAATTGCAAGTCAGTCGGTCTTAGGCCAATATAGCAACAGAGGTGAAGGAAAAAATGATCGTTTTTCGTACGTTATTGTCACTTGCATGCGGCACCTACTTGCTTATTTTCACAACTTTTCAGTTAACACGGCAGTAAAAAATTGTTTCGTCAGATGAAAGTTGCTCTCAGCAAGTAAATCTTACAATAACACGTTACTAATGTCACTTAATTTTGCATCATCAAAAACAGAGTCCTCCTGACTGATTTGTCAGCAGGATCAAATAGCTCATATCAACCATTTCTACTACTGCATATCGCCCATTTTTCAAAGGCTGTGCAAATATGGTAAAAAGCTTCAGCAGCTTTGGACCACATTTAAGCTCAGTTCTTAAGGCTGAGAGGCTGGAATCACATTCACCAGATTAGCCCAACTGACACTTGAGAATATGCGGGATCAAGGTAAGAGACGGATGGCGTAGAGGACTATAAAATAGAGTCGTACTGATAGACCGACGCACATCTGCTGTGTATTACGCATAACAAGTTACATTTCACAGGACCCTAACAACTCTAGGAAGTCATTGCAGCGGGCTGTATCGGTAAATTCACAAACTTATTAAAATAATTCCATTTTTGAACTTTTTAAGCAATTCTCTGTCATTTAATTGAAGTCAAGAATGGAACTCGGTCTCTCAACAGCTCGTATAACTTCGTGCCTTTTCAAGAACTTTTCACTACGATGAAGGAAGGTAAAAAAAGGTCTGTTGGAATCATAGGTAAAAATAATTACACCATTTGAGGAAAGTGTCGGTCGAAAAAGTGGCATTATTGGTCGCATTCCTTCATTAGAGCGTTTCCTGTGCTGTACCTTGTCAGTCTAAAATTCAGAGGCAAAATAATGGTGCACAAGTAATTTTACAAGGTTATTCACATCTTATGTGGAAGTTGGCTAATCAAATTCGGTGGCTTTGACCATGGAGAGGTCGCTGTTTTTCACATGCATGACCGAGTGGTTAAAGTACAGAATTACGCTTTCGACCTCTGGAATGGCATAAAAGAGGTGTGCATTGGCGTTCATGCATTGTAAATTACGAAAGAAAATGAGTTGAAAAAGTGAAACGTGTATGCCGCATTTACCAGCATGAGTTAAAAGTATCCCTCTATATCACATATGGAAATAAGTTTGGGATTATAGTTGTTCTGCTTTTGGAATGCTTTGAAGTGGCTGACTGTTCATTAACATGTACCTAAGTCAATGTTTAATTAACCTTTTCAAGAATGTTTTCAATAGTGTGCGAATCTTCTTTTAGAGGTAGCCAAATCGTAATCCACTAACAAATTGAGCTGTCTAAAAAGACAGCTTACACATTATCTAGTCTCCGTTGTCTGCTGTCTACACTCCTCATTAAAACTTTTCTACCTATACGAGACAGCAAACTACTTTTGCTCGAGAACATTCTTCTATCTTGCAGCATGAAAACGAAGATACCTCAAGAGCTCCGAGCCTGGACGCCAGCTTCTTCTTCTGCTCAATGAGTCGCTTGTGATCGCTGGCAGTGCGCCAGTTCTCCTGCTCAGCCATCTTGATGAAGTGCTCCGAATCGGCAATCTCCTTGTCCACCTCCTCCTTCAGCTGTGCAGTGAGCTTGCGCTCGTTCTTCACTAGACCTATGTGACCCTGAAGCTTCCTATTCTTCTCCATAGATATCTCCAGTTCACCTGAGGTTTCAGTTATTTTCGCCTTGGTTTCTGTCAACTAGATTAGCAGGTAAGAAAATCTTTGCAATAGGCTATTGGAATGTACATTTGGCTGCAAAGTGTTCTTTACCCCTTTAACGCTTGAAAAAGTCAATTATGGGTAGCTGGAGAAATGAATCTCTGATTCACCATGTTATAAATATAATTCCCAGCATACTAAAAGCTTTGTGGCGAATTTTAATAATAAATATTCGTATCTTAATTGGTACGATACAGCAAAGTGATTAAACGTACTCCATGTTATTATATTTGAAGAAATAATAACTTGAAATAATAACTTTTGTCGTGTTTAAAGCGGATCGTCTGATTTAGATTGAGGCCTCAGAAAACTCATCACTTATCACTTATTTTCATCACATAGTCTACTATATCTCGACGTGGCGCTACAAAAACTCAAATTCTAGTGTTTGTAACGATGTAATAAACCAATTATGACTTTTGTCAACCCACCATTATCACCCCACACTGTGAGTTTTTTTACTAATAATGTATGACAACATGGTTGAGACACTTCAAGTGTTCATTCCCAGAACCACTAGGCTAACAAACCTTCCCCCATAAATTATGTAACTTCTATCAATCAGGTAACTAAGGCATACATAAGCAGGAAACAGAGCCAGATTTTGTGTCGATGCTAAATAATTGGAATCCTAAGAATTAATGTGCATCTCGCCGTTTTATTGGGGAATCCAAATAGACACCGCTTCCACCGCTCAACTTGTGCTTCATTTCACCAATTCAACAATATTAAGTTACCCCGAAATTAAAAATTCCATAGCATACCATATCGGGCAGAGTTTAGAATTTATACGTTACTGGAGTTGACATTGTCTAAATTTCCTGGCTACCACTATTACCTCTCGATTTTAGATCATTACAATGAATTTAATTCTCATCTGATTGCCCCTACTGGTTATGTTTGGAATACCTAATCGAAAGTCTACTCCGGCTTGGGATTGTGCACTTTCCGCCTATCTCACCATTTTCATAGCACAAAATAGCCAACTGCGAAAGGAGTGTCACGTCATTAGTACTTTTAAAAAGGCTACATTGATTGCCTATCACTTCAAAGTTGCGCCATTGTTAGTGCGAAATGGATGGAAAGCGAAACTGAAACTTACCAGTTCCAAGAGCTTAATGTTTTCTTTTGAAGCGGTTGGAAAGGCAAAAGACGATTGCCATCCCATTTCCAGAAGGGCCTCTTTTATAATTTCGCCCTCCATTCTGTAGACCTTTGACGTGAGTTTGTGCCTCTTGTGAAAGAATTCTTGACACGCACAGGCATGCGGCAAAATCGCAAGTGTAGTTTTAAATAAATTGATTTCTCAAGGCCTTCAAACAGCTGTTTACAGATAATGTTAAAAGATTCTGCCTCCTCTGCTTCGCCTTTTTTTTCCCGACAAACACTTAAGCATCCTCACTTTATTCGCGGTCAAACAATTGAACAGGCATTGCCTTTTTTCTCATCTGTAGATAAGCACATAGCAAAGGATTCCTTTTTTCCTTTTTTGAGGATTCAAAAATCCTCCGGATAACATCGGTTTTGAGGTTTGATTAACGGAATAATTCTGTCGTCTGCCAAAAAATCCTTAGTTTATGCAGCCGGCCACATTAACGATTCCCACCTGCCTTCATTCCTCAGCAAAAAAACAGGAAATACGTGATTCGTAAGCAAGGTGCCAAACGAACTCCCATACTTCTATGTTGAACGGATCCTATTCATTCTATGACTCTTACGATTAGACATTCACAACTGTGAAGTTATAAGCATTCTGTTATTTAATACGAATTTCAAATAATTAGTTGGACGTCTTTGGTTTAATCTCTGTGGAAGCGTATTTCTCAAAATTATTTACTTTACCCCACGTTTGACTCAGATGTATAATTCTGAATTTTGCAAAAAGAGGCTATTTCCCATTTACCAGCTCAGATGGAATATTAAACAGGCCTTTGACGGATTAAACGTGGCAATTTCTCAAATGCACGAAAAATATGTTTCTTATCCAGCTGTTGGTTTAATAGTCAAATAGTGTGCCTTTACAGTTGTTACTTAAAAGAGAATCGGGCATTATCCACCTAAAGCCCTTCTTCACTGTTAAACAAACACGAATAGCCCAATTTGCGCGGCGATGAAATTCAGAATTCCATAATCCTTACTCAAGCACATGTCGGAGTTGAGTCAACAGAAAAACTTCCGTTCATGTAAATGCAGAGCGCATAACCGGGACACTTTCATAATTTTGAGTTCCTTTTATAATACTCACTGATATAACTTAATTTATGGAATTTTGTGATTCTTTGCCTCTTTACCTAATGAGTTGATTTATTCAGATCAGGCTTCTCAACTTATAAATAAAACTTAACACATTTTGTAACTAGAGTTTCATTAAAACATTTGATCCATCTTGTGCATTTGTCGAATTAAGAACAAGAAGACTGTTACAATTCCTCTCCGTCTATAGTTGTCCCCCTTGACCACACATTGAGCATTCTTACTTTACATCAGGTAATATAAATATCTGGTCCCGAAAATCCTAGGGGGAACTTGTCGCATCCTTTTAAGCTGATGATTTTTTGTGATTATTTTACATCAATTTCAACTTCATTGTACTGCCCTCTGGTATTACAGCTGTCAATTTCGACTTGCTGGTAGACATCGGTATAATGTGAAGTGCAGTAATCTATTCTGAAGAGTACACTTTTGTCAGAATTAGAACACTTACGAGGTGTAAATGACTAGAGAGCCGCCTCCACAAATGATAAGCAAAATATAGAACTGTAGATTTGAAAGAAATATTTTGGCCTATGGGGGCAGAACACAGTGCAATCGCGGGGAATCTTGAATAGCATATCTAAAAATGCTGGGATGTTTTGCGTGACAACTAATTTAAAAACCTCGGTATGCCCAAAGCATAATGCTATTGCAATAAGAGCTTCTTCAAGGGCTCGATTGTGTTAAAAATTTGCCTCGGGGCATGATGCTGGAAATTTCTTGCACCCGAACACGCGGTCACGTTTATTCCTAATCTAAGGGTCATTAATAGCATTCTCTCCTCCAAATGCGTAGTTATCGGCAACGATGAACTCGTAGTCAATAAAAGATATCGCATTTTTATGATGAATGATGCTTCACATGATCACGAGCTGAACGTTAAAATGTTTAATTTATTGGTGACCACAATTACTAGACTAGTGAAAATGGAAAGTTCTTTTTTCACTTAATGAGACTTATACTTAAAATCTCGATCAAGAAGGATACTTGAATAAATGTATTGGGAGACAGAAATTCCACGAATAAAAGGTAGAAAGAGGTTCCCCACGGTCAGAAATCAGATTTTTGTGGGGTAATTAGCGCGAATTGTAATTGGCAATTGTCCAATGAGGTCAACAAATGAAACAGCGCCTATTTACCACTTTGATAAAGAGTTGAAAAGCACACCAGCCAAATCAGACAGATCAGCGTGTCCGAGGAATGAGGCATCCGGAGGCCTTTCAAACTGTCAGCTTGCAGCAATAATTTACCAATAATGAAGGAAATTTGTTAAAATGCAAGAAAATATCAGGTCGCGTTCAGGCTCTGTAATTTAAGCTTGATAAACCTTTTAAAGCGAGTTTTCGTAGAAACGAGACCTAGTAGCGCTTGTGACAACCAAAGGTGCAATGTGGGAAACATGCAATCTAACCACCTTCACACTTATTTCCTAGCGCTTTTAAATGCCTTTTAATCAAACGTGCATCAGATTCCCTCAGTTTCTATTAAAAGTTTTGTTTTTTTTGTGGCCGCTGATTTGGATGGTAAGCGTCATGCTGTCTTGGAAATGGTTGTTCATAAAAGGCAGGTGGGTCGTCACATAACTGTAAATTTACCGCGCATGAACGATACCGATGAAGCAGGCAGGCAAGCAGGCATGCAGGCACTTAAATCGCCAGTTGTGTGAAAACTGTGCCATCTTGAAGTGGTACTGCGCTCATCTTTACAACAGCCGCGATAAGTACCGCGAATGTGGTTGAAAGACGCCATCATAATTGCTAGTCACACGCAGCTCGATAGATCGGGCTCTTGCTGATTGGTCCTGTGGTCGCAGTCTATATGCCACTAAAATCAAACTGTGACTGGTATCCACATCAGCAATAGTGAAGAAAATGATTATCGCGTTGACATCACATAAAGGATCAGTTGAAAAAAGCATTAAAATTGCTGTGAATTAAAATATGGCAAGAGGAGCCACGGGAACTACATCGATGAGATCCACTGCCTACACTGACTCATGACGATGACTTGAGCTTCAACATTATTTGATGAAAATGGCAACTTATCATAAAGTTACAACAAGTTCGCAATTACTTTTGCCGCCTTTGCGTGCTGGTTTAAACACTTCGACATTCCGCAAATATACTGTATTTCTGCGTTGTTCAATACCAAATGCATTGGTGGACAGTGGCCGCAGCTTCAACATAAACCAAAACTAAAAAGAACGGCTTGATAGTAAGTAAGGAGAAAGGGAGGCGTGCCATGGGCCGAGGGACGATAATAGGGGGGAGCACCGCGGGGAAGCCCCAAAGCGTCCGACATGCAGTAGCCAAGGGGGACACGAGGTCGAGAGGCAGGGCCAAAATCAAGTCACAGGGGGAGGAGTAGACGAGGCAGACATGCGCTGTTGCTGCAGCCGCCGATGCGGCTGAAACAGTGGAGGCAGACGGAGCTAAGGCATTCCAACCCATTCAGCGTAGAAAGGAATAAGAAATTTGTTCAGGCAGAGGATACAACTCCTCTTTCTACTTGTGTTTTGCAAATACACAATGGTGCCGTGAGTGTGTTGGTATTCTAGCAGTGAGATTTAAAGAGATCGTTCTTGGCGTCTGTGGGATGGGTGGGGAGGGAGGTAAATGCAGGGCGAGTCAAGTCAAAGGTGGGAGCACGAGAGAGAGGAAGGCTCACCAACTCGTCTATCCGCCCACACCTGGTCGTGCCCACGAAAGCCCAAACAACCAAAATGGTGAACGGATGTGAGTGGATAGGCGAAGGGGTGAGAGAGATGTGGCGAAAAGAGGGACGAATCGGGGATAGGAGTCGTGGTGATGGTGACGGTGACGATGTTTTTGACAATAGCAGCCAGGTATGTGCACGTCTGTTGTAGTGGTAGGCTACTGGCCTCCCTTCAACTGTTCCTCTAGATGCTTTATTCGCCTCTCGTGACCCTTGATGATAATCTTCATCTTCCGCATGTCGTCCAACAACTGTCGCACCTCTTCGAGATTTATTCCACCGAAGTCACTCTACAATACGAAAAAGCTAATTGGTTTCTCTCTAACCCACCTAACATCAATTTGAACTGAGTAATGAATCGTATGAAGATTAATGATTCGACTCCAAATGGTCACTTTCTGAACATGCATTTTCAGCAATGGCACCTCAACGAAAAAGAATTTCAACACGTTTTACAGAGCATGAAGGAGGAGAGAATAACTTCGTGAAAGAACCCCCATTAATCAGCTGGTCATTAGTAGCCTGTCAACTCGTCTCAGTGAGAGCCGGAAATGAATTCGTTATCATTTGGATAAAAAAAAACAAAGCAGAAAAGAGCCGAAACTTTGCCACATCTGATTGTAACATTTCTCAACGCCTACCGAGTATGGATCTGTGGTATGAAAAGACACTTAAGAAGAGTAAGGGTATTAATTGAAATGAAAGCAAGCGCGTCAGGTGGCAGGGTGTAGCAATGCCGAAATGACCGTGCGAAAAGGGGGGAATTCCGGAGACAGAAGGCACAGTCAGCTGTGCTGTGTGACACATCCTTTGTCACTGTCCATGCGGCACACGAAAAGCACAAAGACAACAGCGATTCATCGACAGCTATCACACACACGTAGGGGAGTCTACCGAAGTGACGTTGTATGCGCACGTTTCAGCGCCCAAGGCAGCAGTGTCAATAAAAAACGGGCGAGTGAAGCGCGCAACAACCAGTTTAGAGATGAAGTTAGTCACGCAAACCGGTGTGACTGAGCCGCGCGGGTCATTGTGCTACTTCACTTAACTCAATTTCAGAGATGCCAGTTTTTAAGTAGTGTGCGCGCGTGACTATTGTGTAAAATAATTGAATAAACTTCTTGCCACGCCACAGGAAGCAGACCCATGCCAAGGCATATGTGCTGTCCCTGTCTGTGCGGAGAAACAGAGACTTGCCTGTTTGACAGTATGTGAGGGGGAAGACGATGGACTCACCGATTTGGCGATCTCGCCGCTAGCGGAGACAGCATTGGAACTGGTATGGGAGGGTCGAACGGAGTCGGTGGCTGCGGAAGTGGTGTTGCTGTGGGGCGTCTGGTGCTGGTGGTGGGCACCGCTCAACTTTGACTCAGTCAGTTTCAATCGCGTTGACGGCAGCTTGCCGTTCTTCTTGCCGTCCGTTTCACCACTCACAAAACCGTCCTTCAACGATATCTACACACGCAAAGAATATCAACAAGTTGATGGGAAGAATAAGAATTTCAAAACAGAGGCGCTCCATCGTCAAGTTTCGTGTCCCCATGATTAATTAGCCTATAAGGTGTAGCTAGGCATTACGAACCAACCACATCCAACTTTGGGTTGCATCGTTTTTAGTACAACAGAGAAAAAATAGTCAGAACCTGATATGAAAAAACCAATCGTTTGGTACTAAGGAGTAAATAGATTTGGCAAAATGCAAAATTACTCCACAAAAACAATATGCGCAAAATATAATAAGATATGGGACACTGAGACGAGCAGGCTTTCTGCGATGCTTTTTGAAGAATGATCCAAATAAAAAGGGGATAGGTGGAGGCCTGATGCATATTCTAGGGTTTGAATGCTACGGTTTAACAAGTTTGCTATCTGTGTCACATGCATGCAACATCATGAGTTTTGTACCCAAACAAAAACAAAAATAAATGTATAGATTTCCCCCTGGGACTGGTAGCAAACGCGCTAAAATGCGGGGCTGTATGGAAAATCAATGTGAAAGAAATGAATTTTCAAGGAAAAGTTCACTAAACCTCGAGAGTACCGAGGACTGGATTAATCAATTCAAGTAAATCTGCTATGAATGCGCGTCAATTAACAAGCCAGTTCATAATCAAGTAAACTATACTGACTTTTATGATGTCCATTTCAGTCAAAAATAAGTCAATGTGTCATTTTGTATACTTTAATTACACGCCTGGTTTCAAATGTGACCACGTTTCCTGCAACGTCTTCCGTCTCATAAAATACAAAATGCATCCTCTCTTCATCCCAGTCACCAAGAGTAACACCTCAGCAACGGAAATCACATTTGCTGGCAACACTGATTGGTGATGAAAACCAAAGTAGCATGGGTACGGCAGTGTGTTTGCTACAAACGTGTAACAACTCCGCACACTGTATGCGGCACCAGTCAAAACTGTTTACCACGTAAAATATTCACACAGGCCTCTCGGAAAAAAAGTAGCTGAACAGTGTATCACCAAATAAGGCCACTATCAATGTAAAATCTTGAATGAGTAATCCAATGGGTACAACTGACAGTACGGCATGGTAGGATAAGATACCATCGGTCACAGAGATACAGTATGATTTTCATGATCTGGACATAAGAGCCAATGGTTGGTAGAAACGAGTAAATGAAAAATAGGAATCCAAAAAGAAATCAGAAGAAAATAATAAATGCATGAAATCCGAAAACCACCTGAACAATCTCACCACTGTTCAGGCCAGTTTTTTGTATTGCCTGTGCATGGGTCATCAATGAACCACAGCTTATAAATACAAAACGGTTCGGCAAAAAAATTTGGTCTAATTCAAGCTGATTCTGTCATTTTCACGGAAATAATTTGGCATCGATGGGCTTGCAACACTGACAGCGAAGTAGATAATCCAGTAAAAAGCGTAAAAAGGAGCCTGCTAAGTTGTTCAATCAAAGCCTCACGAACAAAGATACTATGAACAGGCTCGCATCATTCCCAAAACCCGTATCACTTTGAATAACGACATTTCATTAATTTTTGGTCTTAAATACTTCGTATTTTAAAAAGGTAAGACAATGGGAAACATTTTATGAATCCTGTAAGCACAATAATAAATAAATAGGAACAACAGCATCTTGATAATAACGGTAACGATATCGGTGGGAAGTTAAACACACCGAAACAACCATAATGGTTAGTTCATTTTTATAGCTTTTCTGTGTTTATCCTACGAATATCAGTTAATAAATGTCAGGAGGTACTTAAGAAAACACAGTACAAATGCTAATAGTCCGAAGTAAAGGTGTTTTTGACAAGCTTCTAAACCCCAATGCACTTTACGGTTTCGGCATACAAAAGAAAGGCATTTGCTAAGCTAGGCAAGTCTGACATCCCACACAAATTCCATCTTGAAAACAAAGTGCAAATTACAATTTATAAAATAAATTCGAACTCGAGCCTTTGCAACAGTCAATTTCACTATTAACTGACTGGATCTAGGAAGTTTGCTTACGGGATACACGAACCACTGTATTGAGCTTGAATACAGAACTCTAAAGTCTACGTTCGTAGTTTTTTGCTAATATTTCAGCCTTAAGATAGTATGACTTCTTGAGTATCGCCTGGAGTGCTACACACAACGAGTTCAAACACTTTAAAATGTAGTGCGGAGAATTCGTCAAAGGCGAGAAAAGCGCAGTGGATAGCCTTGACCCCTGAAGGGTGAAGTTTGCTTTGTTTAGAGGGCACCTACAGGTTCCGTATAGAACGAAACGATGACACTAGCGCAGGCATGGATGTACACGTGTGTGCGCGCAAAGGCCATCCCACAAATGCGGCCATATATGGATGGGAGGTTCGATCGCGCAGCCTAGGGGTACACACACGCACGCGTGCGGATGTCACGTGCGTACGCATAGACGCACGCACTGACCGACGGATAGTTATCACCTGGAGGAGGGATTAGGCCACTTCAACGGTTTCATCCATCCAAGTGAAACGCCAAACTAGCACAATAAGCATGAAGGAATATCTGGGTATCACTAGATAACAATGAATTGGGCAAATCACGGACAGTGTCAACGGAAGAATTTGTGGCCAATCTCGCACGAAGTCACCCATGCTTTGAAGGAGGAAATCGAACCAAACCAGAATCGACTGTAAGGGTGATTTCAACTTCATGGTAGTGTACAACTTAAGTGGCAAAAGCGCTAATCTCACAGTGACTACGCGCATTGAAATTGCATAACATGGGCCCAGCAATTTCGGAAAAGCAAGTGAAGCTACAGAAGTAAGGTGTTAGGCACCCACCAAAATGGGATCCGCGTCTTTGCCCGACATCCACTCATCAGCGGAGAGAGCGGGTGTGTCGCCAACAGTATCGGGGTAGAGATCATCCTGATAGAGGACCGACTTTCTTGGCACTGTGAAGGGGATGACTTCGCAGAAGCCGCGTGCGTGCAATTTGTAGAAGCGTGCAATCTCGTTTTGGTTCACGTTGAGACCCCGCTTTGGCATCCAACCGATGCCTCGCTGTGGATCGGAACTGGTCATGGTGTCAATAAAGAAGACGTAGGGGTCATCGTCTGTCACTTCGAAGTAACGCATTGAGGAGTCTCCCTACGTATACCACAATACAGAAGCATTAATCTTCTCATCCGCGGCCCCACAATATAGGCATCCATTCAGTTAACTGGAACAGAGAGCCGAAGTAAATGGAAGTCAATTCCCAAAGCAAAATATATAATTGAGAAAACTATAAATAGCTTTTCATGCACTTATTCAGAGATATTAATTAATGTATCAAATGAGCCCATAAAATAATTAGAATATAAGATACAGCGTAAGATTTTCAGTCGGTTTTGCTGCAGATATGCAGCTAGGTATAAAAAGTTTGCTTAAATCCACGTTACCACTTGGGTGGACCTCGTTCCTCCAAATGTCAAAAGTGGTCTGCGACGAGGGCATATTTTATCTCCTTTTCCCCTCGTTTCATACAGCAGGCTACCACAGCTCAAGTTATGAAACCGTTAAGACTATCCGTCAAATCCAGAATAATATTTGACATGACAGTAAAGAATAAATAGAAAAAGTCAATGGAAGAACGGATAGATGTAACAGCTAAGAGCATGTATAATGAAACTCAGATCAATTAAATCCGGGAACGCAGTTTCGGATTGATGTACCATAATTAATTAAAGATATCCCAATCTGTAGCGCTCTATTCTACCATCGTTAAAATAAAATTTTGGCGCTGTAACTTTAATTTATTTGATTAAATTCACTGTACGACTGTAATAAAAGCGGTAAGCATAAACCTGTAATCGGACAAAGTAGTGGACACACTTTGCCAAACACCATTTTGACAAAAACTCAATTGGCCGTCGCCTACCTTGCCACAGAGGAAGATGAGATTGCTGTCTGGGTCGTAGAAGGGGAACATGATACCATTGCTAATGTCGAGATCCTGTTCCACCAGTCTTTTTGATACGTCATCCTAAAGCAAAGGAAATCCTACGCTTACAATAGTGCTCGTGAGTGATAATTCATTTTTATGAAATTATAAGAGGAGGCCAATGCAATCCCGCTGCAAATAACACAATTGATTTCACAACGGAGGGCACCTCAAGAGCAAAAATGTAGAGCTTTCAGAAATGCAGATGTGTGAAAAGTCTTTTGCGCAGAAAGCACCACCAACGACAGCAAAGTGTAAAATAGGCGAAAAAAGTGGTGAACTTTGACACACACACACACACAATGGAACTGCCAGGTGTTGGAACACACTGCCTGATTTATGAATCGTGTAGCCGCTGGTACTTTTCACTAAAAACCTAAACATGAGATTTGTAATTGAAGATGGAATCCTTCGGGAAGAAGCTTCAAGGAATTGATAAGGATTGACCAGAAATAGTATTAGGAATGGCTATGAGGTGTCAATCGTGATGAATCAAAACGGTGACCATGAGCCCGCTGTTTAAATCATGCGACTCCAACCCAGGTAAATGGATAGTATGTGGAATCGTATTTTAAAGTCTCCAGAAATACAAGGGGTAGTTATTGTGAACAATACGTTAATTTTGTTAGGCACGAAAAACACACATCCCCACGAATTTAAGCTCAACTTATTTCTAGAAAACTTACATCCTTTCTAAATGGTCAACGTCCCCCATAATGAGATTCCCCGAAAACTTATGCTCAGCACTATTTCAGACTTTTCAAATGTTGCTGCTCTATTTTTGCAAGCCGCTTCTGGATTTCTTTACTTCATTCTTATTATGGTGGGCAACCTAGACGCTCCGCATTTCAAAAACTAGCATAACCACCTTCAAATGTCTCAATATGTTTATTGAAAATCTTGAGTGGGAGAACTTCGGCTCAAAAATGAGTGCTCATGCTAGTGCAAATTAATTTCTACACCTAGCAAGTTCATCAGTAAAAATCCCCGATAAAAGGCGTTTGCCTTTGGTGCAACTTTGATAACGCAACAAACCACAAGAACGCAAAACCTACCCGACAGAAACGGCCACAAGACACACTAAATGACCACATTCACCACCTCTCATGAAGCTACAAGCGATGAAATATGGTAGAAGGAATTCGTGATGAAAAATGTCGCAGTATCTGACAGTTGACATTATCGGAGGGAAAAATCAAACATGTATTCATTCCCAAAAGTAACCGTAAAAGGTATGCAGAGTGCTGCTGAATTTCAGCAAGTCACATTTGCGATAGCTGTACGTAGGAAACTTCATTTTTTATTGCAACAATAGAATAACGCTTATCAATTCAAACGAGTTATTTACTAAAAGCGGACATAAATTTGTCTCAAAGAATGTCTAGATGATTGAAAATCGTTGTTACGGCAAGGGAATTTGAAGTGTTGCGATTACATATATCTTGGTCAACCTGAAACACCTTCAATGGGTTTAAAAAACCTACAGTTGCAGGTGTGTGGGAAAGCCAAAGAACACAACAGGAATGACGCCAAAAGGAGTGGAATAGAGTTTCCATTAAACCAAATGAGGATGAAGGAAACTTACTTTAGCCCACAAGGCGAACTGACGCTCACTCATGGGTGAGAAACCAGTGGTGAAGATGCGACCATCTTTGAGGTAGATAGCTTGTTGTGGCTTCGTTCCCTGATGGCAGATATTCTCCTGATATAAGAAAAGCATGAATGTAGATATTGACTGGTGCTCCATGGGAAGTTTAAAAATAGCTCGGATAGAACACAATGCCTTTACCATCCCTATCCCTGCATCGCCAACCACTAACAAATCATGCACAAACACTTGTGCGTAATCTCAAATTAAAGTAGGACTGGTAAGTCACACAAAATTATCTAAATAAAAAAGAAGAGGTCAAAGAATGCAAATCTAAATGATTCTCCAGCACTCGTTGTTAATTATCCCCACCTCATATTTTTCACCGCTCTCGACGCAAGATAGTATGGAAAACTCAAATTAGAATAACTGGTACTCACGAAGAGTGTTGCAACTCAATCCATACATTAGCAAAGAAAGGTGTAGGTAGTGTAACTGGATGGTCTACAGTTTTGAACAGCCACTAATTGGAAAAAGAAACTAACGCACAAGTCAAAGGGCTTTTGTTGAATGTATTGGAATAATGGAATGTGTATCTAGAAGAGCGTGCACGTTTTCACTCAAGGCAGAGGTGAGTCGCTGGAAGCGTACTTTCGGTTCTCTTTTCTCAAGTGACACCGCATACCAACAAGTTCCGCAGTCAGATCAAATGCGGTAGGCAGCAAAGTTATTAACGCGGAAGATAATAAGCCGACGAGTACTTTGCACTTCAGAGTTGTAAAACTTATACACAAGCTCAAATAAAGATGTGCTGTGAAATGGGTGAATAGGAGTATATTACTAGCTACTTTTCATCGAAGCTAGGACGTAAACAGGACACTCATAAAAAGTATGACGAAAATCTACAAAAGCAGAAAGTAAAAAACCATTAATGAAATCAAAAGGTATTAATTGATTACAAAACCAGAAAATGGAGATTTTTAGGTCCGTAAAAAACTTTTTCAATGTGATTGCGAGCAAGAAAACTATCACATCCTAGAAAAACGGATCGAGAAAACAAATTAATCACAAAGGGTCCAGGTACGAAAAAAAAACGTCAGAACGAATAAGTAGAATGATTAAAGCAGAAATAGCAGTCTGCACACCTTCAAAATGGTACCCTTTCGGGGATCAATTATGCGGGTGTGACGGTCCTTGCAAGTAGTGACGAGACGGGAACCATTCCAGTTGAAGCTAGCTGAAAGCACCATATCGGGGAAGTTGATTGTTATCAGTTTCTCCTCGGTCGAAACGTTCCAGATGAAAATTATGTTGTCTGCACCTACAAAGGCAGCAGTGACAAGTAGCGATAGGAGAACACCGATCAAGGTGAACATGATGATTAGCTGACGTGATTGTAAAGTCTACTTCCACCGAAACTCGCGAAGTGAGCGATAAACATATTTGGCACATAATTTTCAGGAATTCTGCTACATTTAGATAGGGTGATGAATCACTTCTGCACAATAATAGCATCTGAAGATATGTACCAAAACAATTTGGGCACACAGCGATAACCTACAAGGTAATTTCCAAGTCCAAGCACCACTTTAAATAGATCAATCAGTTAACGTTCCGATGATGCAAAACATCTTAGAAAATACACAGATTCGCATGAGAACTGTATTCTAATTGATGTACAATTGAGAAAAATTATAATTAAAAAGCAGGAATTATAGTGTTAGAGTTCTAAATATTTGCTGGTGCTCATCAACAATACAAGAAGCGGTAACTCTTTAAGCCAGGCTACTTTACTGGACTGCAGTTTATGGATCTACAGTAAGTAATCGCAGCCGTTCAAGAGGAGGTATTCAATTATGTGGGAAGCTATAGTCAAATTGCTAAATGTCGTAAAGGAAAGCAGAAGTGCTTTGGAGTTTCAAAGGTAAAACAGAAAAGGGAACTTGCCTGCGGTAAGGAGAACGTATTCGGCGGTAGGATGCCACTTGACAAGACCGACGCGACGTTGATGAGCAACCAGATCAGCAACTGGAGTGGTAAGGTTGGTTTCCGGTTGAAGGCCACCCTCGGGGATCTGCCAGACCTTGGCGGTGCAGTCTTCGGAGCCCGAAGCGATTAGGTCATCGTTGTGCGGACACCACTCGATATCGAGCACAGCAGCCCGGTGGCCAGCCACCAGCGGTGAGTCCCGCCCCACTCGACCATACTACAGGGGGTAGACGCAAACACGCACACACATAGGCATTGCCTGTGGTCCAAGAGCTTGGAAGACAATATGCACCAATACCAGTTTAATTCGTCCGAAGCTTTGATGACTGCTTCGGTCTCAGACCTGGGCAAGTACTTGAGAAGGAGTAGAGCAGGACCTATGTGTATGGTTAGAGAGCTAAACAAAACTCGCACTGTCGAGAGTGGAGGAATTTGCTCCGTTAGCTTGAGCACAATACTGACTACTCAAGAGTTCGTCATGAGAACAAAAACAAAGCATCAATCGCAGCATCATTTAGTCACACCACCATAGTATGACAACAAAATCGGGATTTCTTGGTACCGCTAACTAGGGGTCAATTCTCCCAAAGACGCACCTAAGATTGACATTATATATCTGCAAGTGTGCTACTATATGCTTTTACGGGTTATCATTAATGCTAAAAGTGAATTGTACGACAGCTATAAAAGTAGTTACAACACCCCAATGTAGTGTACCGAGTGCCTTGTTACTTGTGATCTAACAACTTTAAAATTGCATAGAGTAAGGACTAGATGGGGCTTCACTCGCAGAACTACGCATACACACAAAGTTATTCACGCAGAAAATTGACCCTGTGACTACAACGAGAATTTGAGAGATGCGAAGTCACCAAAGTACGAACACGCATACTATGCTTGCGATTACAAGCCACGTCCAATTCACAGAAGGCCGCTCATCCCGACTTTCAGAAGTGAAGTTGTTGATGGAAATGGCATCAACTATGAAGGCAAATTCAACATATCACGGAACTGGTAGAAATACGTGAAGTATTTCTGCAAAATTGTTTAGTCTAGTTTGCACAACATTCGACTTTCATGTCATTTGGTAGCACATCGAGTTTCGCGGAATAGTAAACTGTATATACCTCATTGCCAATGATTTATAATCGACATTGATCACCGTAGGACAAAAAAAGCGTCTATTTACAGTATGATTTTTGACTAATTGAGACTTAAACCTAAGTGGAGAAAGATGCAATTGTTAGGTTGGGTCCATGTACATTCATATTCCAATAATGCAATCAATTATTCACACAAACGAATTAGATAGGGATCAGCTCATGCAGAAACAAAGTCTGGATCATAAATTTCCCTCAGTGTATGGAGATTTGATATTAACAAATGTAGGTCGTTTCGTGTTTCGGGGATTGTATGGAAGGCGTCACATTGGACGAGCTATAAAAGCGGAAGACCGAAATCAGGTCTTCAACGAGGTGGAATGTAGTCATTCTTACTACAGGTGCGGAGAATATGACTATGGGAAGCACAGACTAATAAGACAATTAAAAACGCAGTCGATAAAATACTCATAAGATGGAAACACGAGGTCAAATAATAGAGGTGATACTTAATTATGATGGAAGAGTACTTGAATAAATAATAAGGTAAACAGGGTAGTGTTTGATTGCACCTGCAAGATCATCAATTACCATATTTCACTAAAAATTTCTAAAAATTATAAGGTACTGACAAGTCCAAATATTCACATCGAAAAAGAACGGCAAGTAGGATTGGGGATAGGTGCATAGGAAGGCAATTACAAAAGAATTGCCTTCCGTAAGATATTTGGATAAAAAACAAGGGCAAATTACAGGATCGATTGATACTGAGCCGTGAAAGGGTGTAGAGAATCAGTTCCGAAAACCTTGTCATGACCATACATTACGACACAAGCAAGGAAACGAAAAGCGGGTTATCGACAATCGACTCCCAACAGGCAAACAAAAGTTGAAACGATAACAAACCTTTTCGATCGGTAAAACGAGGAACGCCCCACCACCAGCAGCTTCTGTGATAATTGCCAGATACTTTGGATTTACGGAACAAAAAGTAGAATCCCAACTGCTTTTTGTGATTCGAATTTCATCGTAACAGAATTCTTTTTTGTTGGGTTTGCCGATGATATGCTTGAATTTGCTCTTCCGAACAAACATACTTTAACAGACGGAAACACTGATGGAGATGGCTTGCTGAAGGAGTAAAGGAACATATTCATGTCAAAGTACTAAGAAATCAAAATAATTTTGTAATGAAAAAGTGGGGCAAAACCGAAATGGCTGACTGATTGTTTGAAACGTCATATGCGTTATTGCCGTCTAAATACAGAAATCCGTGTTTCATACTTAGGATTGAGGGTAACACCAAAGGCATAAAAGGAAAGACAAGTATAACCAAACCAAACTAATAAATGCAAAAGTCCCTCAATGACAAAATGCTTTAAACCTTAAAATCAAAAAAGCCAAGCAGGAAATCAACATTGGTCATTAGTAAATCGTCACATATGAGGCCCAATAATCCCACCACACAAAGGCGATACAAGCTAAACTCGAAGCACAAAAGTCAAAAATTGACCCCTGTAGGTGTTTACCAATGTGGGAAATGCCTAGGATGCTGAGCGAACTAAACTCACAAAACTAAGCCTTCGACGAACCCACAGTGACCTCAGACAGAGCGCGGAAAAACAACTCTTACTGCTCATTCGTTTAAACACACAAAGAGCAAATTTGTGGGATTCGATAGCTTAAAGAATACTGAGAGCTTTGTTCATTAAAACAAGTTTATTGTAATTTTTGTTTAAATGATTTCAAGTGATTTAGAAAGTTTTTCATATTATTGCTGATTATTTGAAAAATAAATGCATAAAAAGACGGCGGAGCGCAGATTTACAGAAGTGACCAAATAAGTCAGTCGTTTAGCTGCTGTGTATGAGAAAGAGACCACTTTGGGTCTCCGTTATTGTATCTTTCCTAAATGACCTGGACTCCAGCCCTTGCCGGAAGCTCTTCGTCTTACTGTGTGTGGTATATGCGTATATATATACATATATGTTCCTCAGATTAACATGTCTTTTTTAATCTCTAAAAGAGTCTTGAAAGGCTGCTATATATAATTTTTTTTCAGCATTTTATCCTATTCACCATGGTGTATTCTCTAAGGCCATTTATGTCTAAAAAAGAGCTATGTCTAACTACTTACACATAAAGCTTGTTCCTAAGGATGAAGTGGGTGCATGTAGATAGCCTTCTGAGGCTTCCATGAAGACGGAAAGAGGGGGTGATACTTGGTCAGAATATGTATTGTCGACCTACAGTAGAGCATGGGACTGTGGGCTTGGCTCATAGGCTAGTCTGCCCGGCTGAAGTACAATAGTTGTGCGCCTGAGTGGCCCCTTACCAAAACCTAAGCGTTATTTAAACAATTAACGCATTACATCCAACATAGGTTGTTCTAAGACTGGAAATTTTCCGACAATGTACAATTACCCAGGCAATTTTAATAAAATAACCGTTCGTGTTAAGTCTTGGGTTTTTAAGAGGTTTAAGGCATTGCAAACCTACTAATGCGAAGTTCTCGTGCGCATTTCATCAATGCTGCGTATTCTAAAAGTGCCACAAGTCTCGTATTAGTAATGATTTCATTTATATTAATTATTCCTTGATCCCCTTAGGAGTAATATCAGTATGTGATCAAATTTTCAAGTAGCTGTCTTTATTATTTCAGCTACTGAATTGCCTTATTTTCTCTTGCCAAACATAAACCACTTGCTTTTACGTGCTTTTCAATGGATGCTTAAATTAGTTTAATTTTTTTTATCAGTTCTGATAACTGGGACATCTTGACCTCGTTAGCAAATTGACTTGATTTTATCTTCCTCTTATTTACTCGGCAGTTTTGCAAAATTTGGTTATACTAGAAGGATTCAACAACTTCGCAATAGTTTGCCACTAAGGTATGTTATGTCACCGGAATACTTTTCTTGGACTTAAGTTATTTCCAAAAACGGTAATCATTTTCACTCCTCAGTTAACCTCTGATTTCAGACCCTTTGATTGAGAAGGCAGCCTTGAGAATGATATCTTACAGAGCATATTATGGTATTTTACAAAGTGTCAAAGTATTACCGAGAGGTCCGTGGTACCCTCCACCTTGGGTACCGGTGACGTTTGCTCAGTGATGGGGTTAATATAACCAGACCGTCTGTCACCCGAAAGGGTACCTTTAAACAAATCTGCATTACCAAATAAATGCGAGTACGTGGCATCGTTCAGGAGCTTATTGATAAAATCTAGTATGATTGTGGACTTTAAATTGATATTCGCTTCCAAATTATTGGCGCTATACTATTTGTGTACTCTAGTGCAAAACATGGAATTTGTATTTTGTCGATTACGAGCCATTTAGTTTTGGCAGACAGTTTAGTCTATGCTCACAGATCAAATAATTTTCCATTTTAACCCTGTTAGGTATTTTGCACCATTATAAATTTAGTTTTAAATTTATGAGACATTAACAGCCTAACAATCATATCAAAACAAACCCATATTTGCTCAGCTTAGCCTTTATGTTACAGGTCGTCCTCGCGCGTCGTTTGTATAAACTAATGCTCTTTGAATTTATTAGTGTTCCAAGCTCTAATGATTTCACCTTACGGTAGAATCTTTTCTCTTTGTCCAAACGCTCAAAGGCCTTCAGGATGCTTTCTCACTGCCGCGTAATTTGCTACATATGTAGCGTCCCGAGACTCCCTGAAGACGAAAGAAGACAAAATACTCGGGCAGAATATATATATTCAGCACGGAGAAGGTGTCTGGGCCATTGGCATGGCCCAAAAGGCCAGCCCACCCAGCGAGGTACAAGGGGGCTAATTCGAAGTACAAAAGTGGCGCCTCACCAGAACCGAGGGATAAACCACTATCGATTACACATACGTGCTGAATACTTTTAAGACAAATTCTGACTGTGACCTTCATAAACTACCTTAATGATGGTCCGTTTTTACTTTTCGGAAGGAAATTTCATATCATAAATAAATAGTCGCCTGGCATTGAGACCGAATGACCTCTACTAAGCCAAGTGCGAAGTCTCGCTCTTAAATGGCTTTCAAGACTCGTGCACTGGTGGCCTGTTGCCACCATCCCCAATAAACACAATGGTCTCGCATGCTCGACCAGTGCCTATACAAAACTTGTAGTTAGCACGTCAAGGTGGAACCCAACGAAGCGGACACAATTGACCAAGCCTAGACAGAACCAAACGGGTGGAGTTTTGTGATACAGCATCCAAATAAGATGCGTTAATGGCTGCTCACGGCCTCGTTTTCTGGAAATGCGCATTGTTTCAAAAGTTCAGCAGCATTAAAATTCATTCCTAATTCAACATGACCCAAAGTGAACATTGATCGTTACTATGACCCAATAACCTTTATGTGTGGTCCAGGATTTAAATCCAATTAAAATTTTATTGAAATACATGCAATTTTGCGATAGTAAATGCAATCAGAATTCAGGCAGAACTTCGTAATAACCAGCTCCATCTTCTTCTGCAAATGACGCTACAAATAAGCCCAAATAGCAACGCCTACTTTCTGTTATGATTTACAATATTGTCGTGTTTTTGGTAATCGACGATTTCGGACCCAGTAAAACTGTAATAAGGAAGGTAGTTGTTTCGATTTCGCTCGCTTTTGTTAGATTAAAACCTATTATTGTTAGTGCGAGCCTTATGGTAGATTGCTTAACCCAAGGCACTCCTCTAACCCTTTCTGATTGCGATTCCAGTCGAATTCTTGTTTTAAAAGCCTTAGCCATCTCAGGTGAGATATGGAACGGAAACAGGAAAACAAAAAATGCTGAAGTATCGATTGGAGAACTGGAGGTGACATGAAAGTAAAGCACGATGGAAGCATTTAAAATAGTTGGGCCCATTCTGCACGTTTCCCGCGGAGGTGTGATTCCAGGCCATGCAAATGTATTTGCCGCGTGAATTACGGGCGCTACAAACGCGGAAAAGTAGGCAACTGTGAAATTATCCACTTTGATTCTCATCGTTTGGCCGGCGCGGTGGGACGTAGTGAAAGTAGGACCAAAGTGATAAATGGAAACTACAAACGCGAGAACCGATTGAGGAATATGAGTAGATGGCAATATTTCAAGATTCAATCTAATTGCAGACTAGTTTTAACTTCCATCTTAGGTTGAGATTGAAAGATAAATGACATTTTTAACGTTGTAGTCAAATAACTCCTCCACTCCGAAGATGCTTGGTGGCTGCCCATGTCTTTTGAATTAAAAGAGTTGACACTTGGAATGCTTGAAGTAAATGATGGCCTTTCTTAATACTAAAAAAGCGGAAGAATGCAAATTGCCTGAACTTAAGGAAAACGAACTTGCGCCCCCAAATGAGGTGGACTGTACCGAGAAGAATTCGCGTTAATTTGCTGCATTCTTATGTGCATGCGAAAAGAAGGAAGTTCACTGCTAGCATTGCATTCACCTTTAATGCACTTCTTCATTTATTCAAACAAACATGCGTATAGTTTTTGTTACCCACCCATAGCTCTATTTTTAGTAGAAACTAAGAAAAAACACACCTAGTGCTGTGTTAAAAACTACCTTGTTAGCATATAAGGAGAAGTTAGGCCAATAAGTCTGAGAGCGCTTCACTTACCTAAGTAATTTGATAAATATTTGCTTTAAGGTATATCAGGTAGTGCCAGGAGCATCAGGAAACGCCCACAAAAGTAGCAAATATAGGAGGGATTTAACTAAAAAACTGCGGGGTGGACCGCCATCTGTGGTCTTGAAACAGTATTTTGAATTGCACCAGACTTAAATGTTAGTTTTACCCAGTAGGTACTTTTAGCGTAGGAAAGTTTTGGCTTCACGGTCGCTCATCTCAAGGGATTCAGTTATGGTGAACTTAATAAATCGCTCCATAAATAAGTAATAATTTTGAATTTTGATGTCGAAATTCAAAAAAAATTTGAAAATGTAAAAATTCAACCCCATTCAACTAACCTTGTTGTGAAAAAAGTTTTCTCTGCTTGATTTTAATGGTAAATCACGTGCTCTAAAGCTTCAAAAAGACCCATGTGAGTGAATACATCTTTGGTTCTCAAAGGTGCTTGTATGTGGGTCATTTTCTCTTACAAGTAGTTAAATGAAACATCTTCTGCACGTACTAATAAGAAACATAGGTTCGTATTAAGAAGTATTTCCCAAGGGTTCATGTCTGCGAACCAGGATTGAAATGATGTACCGAGGTATTTGGGGTTGCCATGGTTTTGGTGCATAATCCATACCGGGAGAGGTAAGCAATTGGGGTCATTGATAAAAATAACGTGAGGAGGACACAGCATATCAGTCAAGTTGGTACTTTGAAATGTTTTAAATTCTTTAACCGACCACATATTATTTTATCCGAATAACACAACATTCTAACTTCTCTAGTCCAAGTGCAGGCTTGCCCAATTCTTGTAAAAGAATAAGGAGAAGTGAGAAAAATCAAAAGTTCATTGACTAATTCATATCGGTTTACTTGTCCATCTTTCCTCAGAATGTCTGTTGCACTAATTCAAACAGGGTATCCTACTGGATCCATTGTTAAGTTGGTGTACCATTCAGTATTCCAAATTATTACGGAAATAATTCTTAATCTTTGCTGAAAAGATTAAAGAAAAATAGACCCCTTTAAGGGTGT